ACTCAGTAGCCGAGGCTGGATCGTGTTGAATGCACTGGAGAAATCAAAAAAGGTGATTCTCACAGTGCAACCCGATCCATTCAGGTATGAGTGAGCACGCTGCAGCAGGTAAATAATGGCATCGTCCACCCCCAGGTGAGGCTGGTAGGCAAATTGCAGAGGGTCAAGGAATGATCTCACCTGCGGTCTGAGATGGGCCAAGACCAGTCTCTCAAGCACCTTCATCACATGAGATGTGAGTGCTACAGGGCGATAGTCATTGAGCCCAGAAGGAGTTGTCTTTTTAGGGACCGGAACAACGCATGATGTCTTCCACAGCACCGGGATGGTCTCCAAGTGCAGGCTCAGGTTGAATATATACTGGAGAACAGGAGCCAGCTGGCGTGCACAGGTCCTCAGGACCCTGGGGCTGATACCATCAGGGCCAGCAGCCTTGCCTTGGTGGAGTTTTTCCATCTGACTCTGGACCTGTCCTGTGCTCAGTGAAGCGGGGGGGGGGGGCTTGATGGCAGGGGGGATAGAGGGGGGGGGGGTCTGAGGCAAGATGAGCAGAGGGGGGGGGGGGGGTCAGCGGCAATGTGAGCAGAGGGGGGGTGCAGAAGCCAGGCTGGGTGGTGGAGGAGAGGTGTGAAGTGTAGGTGGTGAGCAGAGGGGGGATGTTGACGCCAGGCTGAGAGGAGGAGGTGAGGTGAGAAGAGGAAGTGGAGGAGACAGCAGCGGGCGGAGAGCTAAACCTATTGAAGAAGGTGTTCAGCTCGTTGGCCCTCTCCAGGGTGCCCACAGTCAGTCTGTCTCTCCCTTTGAAGCCAGTGATAGCCTTCATCCCAGCCCAGACATCCCTGCTATTGTTCTGCTGGAGCTTAGTCTCCAGCTTCTTCCTGTACGAATCTCTGCCCCTCCTCAAATTGTCTCTCAGTTGATGCTGGATACTCTTCAGCATTGATTTGTCCCCAGACTTAAAAGCTTCCTTTTTCTTATTTAAAAGAGTTTTCAGGTCACTAGTAATCCAGGGTTTATTATTGGGGAAACAGTTGACAGTTTTAGCCGGTAATATTGTTTGTTCACAGAAGTTGATGTATTCTGTGATGCAGTCAGTCATATTATTGATGTCCTCTCCATGTGGCACACAAAGCACGTCCCAGTCAGTGGTCTCGAAGCAGTCCTGTAGAGCCTCATTAGCCCCTGGAGTCCATTTCCTCACAGTCCTGGTGGATACAGGCTGCCTCTGCACCAGAGGGACATATTTAGGAGCCAAAAAGACGAGGTTGTGGTCAGATCTGCCCAGGGGGGGGAGGGCAGTGGCACAATATGCATTCTTGGTATTTGCATATAGAAGATCCAGAGTATTATTTCCCCTGGTGGGGCATTTCACATACTGAGTGAATGTAGGCAGAGATTTGTCCAGTTTTGCACGGTTAAAATCCCCAGTTATTGTTATGAATGCATTTGGGTGAAGAGTTTGGAGTTTGGCCACAGAGGAGTGAATGACGTCACCAGCCACCTCCGCGTCCGCGTTCGGTGGAATATAGACAGCAACTACGATGACAGAATAAAGTTCTCTAGGTAGATAAAATGGACGTAATCCCACAGCTAGCAGTTCAATGTCCGGGCTACAGAAACGCTCCTTCACAGTAACATGTCCAGGATTACACCATCGTTCGTTCACATACAGTGCAATCCCTCCTCCTTTCTTTTTACCGCTCAGAATAACGTCCCTGTCCGCCCGAACACTCGTGAAGCCGGGGAGAGCCGTGTTATTATCCGGGATGAGCGAGTGCAACCAAGTCTCGGTAAAACACATGATGCTACACTCACGGTATTCCCACTGCGTCTTCGTCAGCACGCGGAGCTCGTCCATCTTATTCCCCAAAGACCTCACGTTCCCCATTATGATGGCCGGTACACAGGGTTTGTACCTCATCTTCTTCTTCATCCTCAGCTTGGCCCCAGCTCTGCAGCCCCGCTTGAGCCTCCGAAGCTCCTCCGGGATGTCATGCCTGGCTCCGGGCAGCAGCACGGGTCGGCACAGCGCAATCAGCTGCTCACGCGTGTAAACAATGCCATCACTCCTCTGAGCATGGCTCTCCGACACAAAAAGTGAAAAAAGTAGCAGAAGAATGACCAGAAAACGTTCGAAGTAAAACGTGGCCATAGTTCGCTGCAAAACAAAATAAATATCCAAAGAAAAAAGTACAACTAAGAGAATAAAAGTAAACAAAAAGACAAAGATCAATAAAACACCGGGAGCTGCATGCAACAGGCAGCCACCGGCACGGCGCCTTACGCAAAGTGTTGTGTTCTTCGGACACATGATTTCCAAGGCTGACATAAAACGTTCTCCCTTTTGATGTATGTTCTGAACCAGTTAAAGACACAGTCAGAAAGCATCATAAACATCTCTAAAGCCTCGTAGTTACCACTTTGTCTTGTTTTTCACATTTTAAGCCATTTAATCAAACAAAATGAAAAACATTATCAGGTTACAGATTTTTTGATATGAGCATTTTTCAATATTGTATCAAATATATAATATAATTTATCAACAAGCATTTAAAGATGCATGTAATGATCCCAATGCAATTCAAACCATTTTGCAGTTTATTCCGTTTTAGTATTTTCCCTCATTGTATAACACATATGATGATAAAATCTCCAAGCCTCTGTCCTAGAGGATCAGGTATTTAAATAGTTATTTGTTCCTGCTATTGACTCTTCAATTCAAGGAGTTTTGATGTATTGATATTTATGAATTTATCCATTATAACCTTTGTTTTCTTAAAGGAAACCTATCATGCTATATTTAAATGATATATTGTAGGGCCATACCTATAAGGTATATTTATACATTTCTGTTTTCAAAATACCAAACAGATCATGCATTTTAGCCATGCCTCATTTCGCTCTATGTGCTGTTTGCTGTCTACGGGTCTGATAGAGTGGCGAAGTCCCTCCCCTTCCGGTTGAGCCCCATGGGACCTTATTTCGGAAAAGTTATGCATTGAAGTCAATGGAGAGAGAAAGATTATCTTTCGATTCCGTTTGAATTGTGCCACGAATTACACATATGATGTTTGTCAATTTAAAAGATAGTTTTGCAAGTAAAAAAAAAAAAAATGTGTCGTAAAACTGTGAAGTAACACATTTGTTTGTGTGAAACGCTCAATGAACTACATCTCTGGTCAACACAACACACGTCACCAAGATGGCCGTCACTACTGTCTTGTCAACACAACGACCCTCACTATCACCACAATGAAACACGTCCTGAAGAATGTCATGCAAAGCTGCCTGCCTGCCTTCCTTTGATTCTCTCTGAATTGCCTGGTCGTTTTAATGTTTAATGTCAACCATTTGTGCAGATAGCATGAAGTAGAGAAGATCGCCGATGCTAACGTTAGCGTTAGCATTTCTCCCCCGGGCTTAAATGGTGTATTATAGAATGATCACACCGGTGACAGTACTATTCAAAGGGTTCACGAAATATGACTACTACTCTTACTGTTTAACATTTTGGGTTACTTAATGTTACTTCATGTTAAGGCTAATAAAAATGACAAGGCTGTAATGCTAACTAACGTGCTAGCTACTAGCTAGGTAGCTAACTTGATCCACACACTCCTCTTTCATCAGACGGGAAGCGAAAGAACGAGCAAGACCCATTGCTGGTATAATAACAACCTGGTACTAAGCACACAGGCATCTTGTGAAAGTTATCTTATCTTAGCCAGCGCCATATAGATAGATTCTATCTATATGGCGCTGATCGTATATATACGGTATTATACGTATATCGTAGTGTCTCAATTGTGACATCACTTACGCGACTCTGGGATTTGTAGTCTTTCTAGTTGCGTATTTTTCATAGTCTTATATTTCAACAGTTTTACGACAAACTGTGACTTTTTTGACATGGAAATGATTTTTTAAGATTGACAAACATCATATGTGTAATTCATGGCACAATTCAAACGGGATCGAAAGATAAGTTTTCTCTCCCCATTGACTTCAATGCATAATTTTTCCGAAATAAGGTCCCATTACCCGGAAGTAAGTGGGCGTGACTTCGCCACTCTATTCTGCTGACCACGCCCCCCTGCAGGAGAGGGGAGACGTGCTCTGATCAGCTGCTGGGCTGTCAGAAGAGGGGGAGAAAAAGAGATCTCCGTCCTCCCTGTTTTATTATATAGAGTCGTTATTCATTTGTTTTAAAGCTCAATAAATAACAAAGAAGACCTTTGACCGGCACTTTTCAAATTTTGTCCGGAAGATTTAAATTTTTACGGACATCTTGACCGGCGAAAGTAACTGAAACTGAAACTCTGCCGCACGGTCCCCTCGTTCCTTGGAAGAGGCGGAGAGGTGGGTGTTTGTCATCTGCTGGTGGACTAACCGGAGAGAATTACAGTGCTTGCCTCGACGGGGAGGGATTGCATTGAATTAAAGCAGCGGGAGCAAACGCTTGCCTCGGGGAGGGAGAAAGAAAGCCACAGCGGAGAATAAACAGAAGGGTAACCATGGTAACCAAGTCTTCTTCGCTGCTTTTGTGGCAGACTACAGCGCCACTTACAGGCCTGGCATATGTACTACAGCGTCTCCAGCACTTTCGAACGGCAATGGCCGTGGCTGTCTCCTCCTGATTGGTGGAGTTGGCCCAATAGCCGTAGCGCCACTTTCCTGACGTCAGTAAAGTGTTCAAATCTGGATCAGTTTTTATCAGATCCGTTGCAGCCCCTTTTTTAGAGATTTGGGTATGGAGGAAAATAGAGAGGGTTGTGTTTTCTGACACTTGGTGAGTGCCCTGGAACACCGGGGACACATATTCATGTATAAAAGACGTACAAAAGTGCATTTTGCATGATAGGTCCCCTTTAAGTTAATAATTGCACTGTTAAATTTATATTTGTAATATTATATCAGAATTCAACAAGGAATATATTGATCATATCAGGCTTCAGAGTGCTGTTTGTTCATTGCTCATCAGTGATTTGTTTTCTCTGCAGGCTTTCTATCCTGCTAACAAGGATGTCAGTGTGAAGTATGGTGACACCATTGCAGGCAGATGTGTGTTTACTGGGGAAGGCAGAACCTCCAAAACATATATTGGGTGAGTTTGGTTTATAACATAATGCACCTAATTATTACCCCACACATTTGTACTTTAAGGGGGTAAGGGGGCGTACACAGTATAACCCAACATTCAGGTTAAAAGCAACGCTGTAAAAAAATGGATCTACTTTGTTGTGTTTGTTGTTTAATTTATCATGAGCTGATGAAATATGATCCAGTAAGGCCAGTTTTAGTGATAAGGCCTTATCTGACACATACACACTACACGGGTTTATAATGGCGCGTTTCCACTACAGCGCGGAGCACGGTTTAAGAGGGCTGTGACGTCAGCGGCCCGTCTTTGTTTGCGTTTCCACTTGGCCTAGTACCGGCCGGCGGGTCCTAATTCACAGTTTTTCTGGCCTCATAAAATCGTGGGTCTAGGGCCAGAGACAACGAGGCTGAGTCGGGCTGAGTATGCTAAACTAGAGAGAGCATCGCTGGCAAGGGGGCTACAACTACAACAAGATGGACATATTTGACCGTGATTTCATTGTAATACACGTTTCAAAATGATGCCGAAGTAACAACATACTGATACCGGTTAGTAAAAACCATGAATTAATGCTTTGACAAGTCTGCAGACTGACGGCAGGCGAAAAACCTTTTAAAATGCGTGTTTTCTAAATGGAGATTGGCTAAGCTAACGCAGTATATGCTCCGACCGTCCACACTCACAACAACGGCCTATACAGACATAAATAAAGCAGCGACTGTATTCGCCATGACACAGGCAGTCTGTGGTTTGTACTTGTTTAACTTTTGTCTAGTTCTGAACATATATGAGGAGCTGTGAGCTCAGAGTGCTAACAGCTAACGGCTGTGTTGTTTTTCTGGGGTTCTCATTGAAGATGACGTCACGGCTCCGCCTACACTGCGTTACTATAGATACTACCCCAGTTCCTAAACTGTAATGGAAATGCGCCACAAAGTGAGCCAGTCCTAACGAGGCCTAGCCATACCGAGCGAGGCCGAGCGAGGCCGTGTAGTGGAAACGCGCCATTACATTGTTGCGGAACCTGGGAGCCACATTTTCCATTGATTACTGCACTGTAGTTGTGTATATGATATGACATTAAACCTTTAAATCTACTTATCTGTTTTGTGTGCAGGGCTACCTCTGCTGATGAAATGTGCAACTTCTACATAATGTACTACATGGACAGCAGACATGCCGTCCCCTACATGACCTGCATGGAGCCAGGCTCCAAAGAGCTGTTCCAGCATATTCCAGATGAAGCCAACATGCCCATCGCTGTCAGTCCAGCTGATATAAACTCTATGATGCATATGAGGCACTCAACAGGTACTCATATATATCAATATTGTTTATATTGTATAATGTTAACCCACATACTATTCCTTTTTTTATTAAGTTTTCCTTCACAAGCTGAATACAATTTTAAAAAACAAAAAGTTTTTGCGTTTCCACACTTTCATAGTAAACACACTATATGTCAACCATACCTCTTTCCTTTTTAGATTTTAGCTTGAAGTGCTTTTCATTAATCATTTATTTTGCCCGCACTGCTTAGCTAGTCGCCGCTAGCCAGCTTCCTTTTGTCAGCTTCCTTTTGTCAGCTTCCTTTTGTAAGCTTCCTTTTGTCAGCCATCCACTAACCCCGATACTCCTGTCTGTGCCAAGCAATGTGACGTATTGCCAGGACAGTCTCTCTGTGGTCACAGTGCGGTTACAGATGTAGCACCTCATTTCGGACGCCCCTACCCATGTGGGCCCGTGATCGGCACGGGGTGGGCCCCTGCTGAAAGGAAAACCCCCCGCAGGACTTGATACGGCCCCTTGATAAATAAATTAAATTATAATGAAACCAGCTGCAATGGATCATGGATCCACCAGGGGGCAGTGATTAAAAAGCAGCCACACTGGAACTCATGTGAAATAAACAGCTGATAGATCTACAGGTATCTGATATAGCGGATCTTTGTTAAGATCCATATGTCACGGATAGGATCATATTCTGTGCTAAATAAGAGACATGTAATCATTTATATGTCTTTGTTGCCGGTGACTACTGCCTCCTCAGCTAGCTGTTGGCTGGAGCATTATAAAGCTGGTTAAGCTCGTGGCCTTCGAGCTAGCCGCTGTTAGTAGCTTCACGTCAACTCCACCCCTCCACCTTGCTCTCCAGCCATTAAACAACTTCGAGTCAGACGTTGACCCTGTTTTATTCACACGTGCTGCCATTATAAGCTTTTGTACTCGCTGTCTGACCACTCCATCTTATCTTTGTGGTCCAGTGTTCACCCCAATACAACACCACAAAGTCATCACAACCAACAGCCTGTGCGCTGTTTGTTCACAGCAAACCCGCCTTGCTTTTAAAGTGTCTGGCCCCTAAACCCTAGTCACTGCTGGTATTCATTTTTGTTTCATTCTCTCTAGCATATCTCAGTATATATATATACATTTGGGTTTTAGGGATAACAACTCATATTTTTGGTTTGTCCTTTCTATGTTATTTGTTTTCCCTGTTGGATAGAGAGTGAATGTATTCTAATTTAAGGTTCACACTCGCTTTTAAATGATTTCTCCATTTGAACTTGTCTTGTTATTTTAGCTACCTTCACTTACACTTCTCAAAAAGAAGTATTGCTTAGTCTAAGTAAGCTATGTTTTCCCCCCCAAAGATCATCAAGATAACAGATTGCTGTGGGACGACAACAAAGAGGCTCTGGATCAGGGTGAGTTCAAGGATATAAGCTGCACCACTATGTTATTAGAAATGAAAAGGTCGGAAAGGTATTTTCTACTACAAAAACACCTGCCTGATAATCATGCTGAACCTGAACAGTGAAATGATAATAACAATTCTGGTACTGCTATTTAGCTCTGTTTTTTTTTTGTACTTCTTTGCCTTGTGGTTTAGACATGTGAATTATGCAAACTCACATAGATAAAAGTTCAACTGATGTTATATGGCTTTTTTTTGTTGCTTTAAGGACATGTGTCTGCTGTATACGCATCAATCCCATATCTCTGACAACCAGATGGTAACCATAGCTTTAGGTATCTAGGTACCTGTAGGTATTGTTCTACCTTCTTTTAATACAGCTAATCTGATCTTGCATGGAGCAGTAATGTGAGCAGCCTGCTAGAAAACACACGAGACACACACTCTGAACAACAGACCTGCTCAATTCTAACTTTCAAACATAAACACGTGTCTTGTCCTGACCTTAGCATGTTGAATTTAAACGTATTCCATTGCCAAACCATCTGTCAATTTCAGTGGCGAGCCGTGACTTTTATACCTAGGCCCTCTGACCCCCACCCCTTCCCTGAAAAAAAAAGGAAAAAGAGTTATTATGTCACAGCGTATACTTCAGCGGAATATCAAAACAACGGCCCGGGGTGCAAAACGCATCAATGAAAGTGACCCTCTACCACACAAAACAACACCTGTAAATAACCCAATGTGTGTTCTTTGAAATTGAAAAGGATATTGCATTGTGTTTGTTACTTTCGTTGCAGTTGTATGTCTTAAGTGTAATTTGGCATGCTTTTATTTTGAAGGCGAGTTTACGCTGTTGACAGGAAGTTGTTGTTGCTATGGAAACAAGAAAAGTTTCACAGCGGGCGGAACTTGTCATAAAGTCCGCGATAATAAAACCCACCCATTTAGAGGGAAGATATGATTGGTCAATTGTACTGTCATTTGACATTACTCTCTCGTTCAGTTACTATAGCTGGCCCTCTGTGAATTTACAGCAGGACCACCAATCAGCTCCTGCCTTCACCTCGCAGAGACAAGCTTCTTTCATTTAACCCTTCACATTCAAACAGAAACTGAATAGGCAGATTCGAAGGATTTATTTCTTTGGAAATGTTTTTTTTTCAATGTTTTTAAATATTATTTTGTAGAATATCTTAGGCCCTCAAAGAGGGCCCTGACGGCTCGCCACTGGTCAATTTTTATTTTACGCATAGTACATGATATGATAAGGGTTGCAATAATATGTCCTCTTTAAATTAGCTCAGACCTAGTTTTGAATGTCTTTCATTTCTTGTTCATTTTGAGCCAAACTATACACCATAGCTGGCCCTCTGTGAATTTACAGCAGGACCACCAATCAGCTCCTGCCTTCACCTCGCAGAGACAAGCTTCTTTCATTTAACCCTTCACATTCAAACAGAAACTGAATAGGCAGATTCGAAGGATTTATTTCTTTGGAAATGTTTTTTTTTTTTTTTTTTTCAATGTTTTTAAATATTATTTTGTAGAATATCTTAGGCCCTCAAAGAGGGCCCTGACGGCTCGCCACTGGTCAATTTTTATTTTACGCATAGTACATGATATGATAAGGGTTGCAATAATATGTCCTCTTTAACCTGTTACGCACCATCCCCCCGGTACCGGGCGGATAAACACGTCATTTGCAGGAAACAACGTCTAAGGAATCTTAATATTTAATAAACTATGAATGTTTTATATCCATGTAACGGGAAGAAACTCAGCTAACTGATCTTTTTAATTTTTTTTTCCAAAAAAAACCCACAATGCTAACACTCAGCCTCTGAATTAGCCACGAGCGAAAAAAATGTAACCTATCACTGCACCTAAACTCACTCATAACTCCCTTATTACTTATCCTAGATGCACAGCCAACCACTCGTTTTGGGTCTCCTGGAGACACAGAATCGTTTGGTGCCCACCTCAACACTCAGTGATAAACATTTGCGACGCCATAAACGAAAGCGTACATCATAACATGTGGAGCTAGGTAGCTAGAAACGCTAACATGGCTTACCTTGGTCAAAACTGGTCTTCAATGGCATTAAAACGATAAAAAAATGATGCTGCAGTTAATCCATAGGTTAATCCAATGTGTCTGTGTACTCTTTGAAATTATTTCTGATAATCCATAAGCAATCAAACTGCTTTTTCGTTTCCAAATGTCAGAGCGAGAGATTGGTCCACTCTGATGCAAAATTACATGCGCGCAGCCCCCACCTTTTCCCTTCACAACGTGTGTGTGTGGGGGCCTCCCCCTTCGATTCTATTGGCTCTAACGGTCAGAAAGAGGTGTCAACCATCCAAATCGAGCAAGGGGGGCCAGAGATATGGAAAAAAAACAATTTTCCCCCAAATCACCTCAGAGGTGGGGTGGTTTTGGCTAAACCTCTCTAAAAAGGTCAAATGTCACTTGTTTTGCATCAATCTTGATACAGGGTACTTATTATATGTTGTACTTTGGATTCCTAAAGCTTTTAGTCTACTAACCCATCATCCAAGGGTAGTTTTCACTATCTGTAAAAAAAGAATTTTTGGACGGACACTATAATTTACAGTTTTTTTACTGTGTGTGTGTGTGTGTGTGTGTGTGTGTGTGTGTGTGTGTGTGTGTGTGTGTGTGTGCACTTGTTTTCATGACAAATAAGGACAATTTTATGATAACACACCTTCACTATCAGGACACTTGGAAAAATGAGGACATTTTTGGCGTCCTCATTTTTCTGAACTCACTACAGTGTTTTAAACTCCCCCAAATACCCCTACACCAAATATCTTCAACGTCCTAAAATATCACAATTTCATGACATGAAGTGTGTGAGTGTGTTTATGGATTTTGCTCATCTATGAATACGCCAACTAGTGGTCACTTCTGGAACTTAACACACTTTTCACACACTTTAGTCACGTGACTAAAAAGGTCCTCATAAATCTCATATTTTTCAGGTTCAAACACACTCCAATGTTTTAAGCTGGTTTTAGTATTACTGCAATATATATGTATTTCCATGGACTCAGAGACAACTAAAATCATCAACAATTAATTACTGCTGATTTTAGTCACCTGCCTTATAATCTAGAGAACGAGTTATTCCATCATTACTTTTATTTACATCGAATAGCCAGATAAGCTAATGTTAGCTTATTAGCTTAACGTAGCTAACCGCATGCAAAGGACCCCTGCCACATGGAAGATTCTCTCGACAGAACTGGAAGGATTACACACTAAATTGAGGTAATTCATTACTTTTTCTAAGATGTTGTTACTGACGAGTAACAAGATATTATTTTAAAATGTGAATTGTAACAGTGGTTTCCAATTTAACACCAAATTGATAGATATTCAGTAGACCTAGTAAGTAATGTTATTTGTGGAGCTTACCGTGTTTTAGTAATTTTATAACAGTATTTACCTTTGAAGACGCTTTGTCTGTGCTCTTGTAACATTATTTGTTGAGGTGTTAAAGTAACTTGAAGTTACACAATTCTAATTGCAGTTGCCCAGGGTTTGCACTGAACAGTTAGCTTATCAAGCTAATGGGATCCTGCATTAGTGAGAACATGAGTTATTAAGTTATGATTAAAGAATAAATAATACCATTTTATAAAACATAATTGATACAAATAAATTAGAAATGTATTTTCTATTTGTTCTTGTTGACTTTTTGTCATTCTTCCATGTAGATGTTTGCTAATTAAATGGCGAGTGTAGAGTGTGTGTGTTACATCGTCCTCATATTGTTGGGTAGCAGATATTGTACAGTTCAAACTATTTCTATAGAGTCTTGAGTTACAAGCCCAGATCCTCATGTGAATTGTTTTTACTAAAATGTGTGTCCCCTACATGAAAAGTCAATGGATTTCTGACACGTTATTGTTGTATTTTAAAATGCAGAAACTGAGTGACATGATCCCGGCTCAGCCTTTAGCTGACTCTGAAAGGAGCCAGAGATCCACCTCATCCTTCCAACAGGTAATTAAGCCTTGTGTTGTGTTTGAAAGCTGTTACCCTTCATGGTGTTCGCGGGTCAATTTTGACCCATGATTTATCTCAGTCCAAAACACTCACAAATAATGACTATCATCCAATATTGTTTTAACTACATCATAACTAACTTCTAATGCATTCATAACCATACAATCCTGTTGTAATGTTATTGTATGGCCCCAAAACACATTACACAACATATTGCACACGTTCAGGTTCAAGTGTTAGTGTACATATTCTTTGTGAAAGGTCAAGTTCCCGTGGGGGGAGGGGGGCCAGAGGGATGGGAGACCAGGTGCATGTTGCGAAAAAAAATATTGTTACAGTGGATGAAGGGGGTGGGGTGTCTAAAGTCAAAGATGAATCTTGATTGGGCCAAATTTGACCCCGAGTCACCCACAACAATTCTGCTCGGTCTAACCAGACCCGAACACCAAATTATACACTTATTTTTTAGAGAACTTCAGACTTGGCTAAAATTGTCAAAATCAGTTTTGTAGTGTTTATATAGCTGTTGTAGAGGATATCATGATGCCTTGTTCCGATAAAAAAACTAGATCGTAGTTATTATATAATTTGAATTTGAAACGGGTCACGGGAGACCCGAACACAACATAAGGGTTAATTAAACATTTACTGTAGACTATTTCTATACAAGGTAAATTCATATCTCAATCAAGTCCAATGCCTACATAAAATGCCTTTTTACCTAATTAAAATTAATATATTGTTTAATAAATGTAGAATCTCAATATAACTGTTACTTGTTTCTAAATATCATAGTAGAAAGATATACCCCTACCATTTGATAGCTGTATCTACCTCTTATAACATGAAAATGATCTTTATTGCCCCTAAATTCTGTGTTTTTTCTCCTTTTGCCAATGTGTTTTCCAATTGAACCTAATGTGTATCAGTTTACATGATCTAATTAATAGGGAAGTAGATCCATACTTATTACTATGGGGGTTTCAGGTTTTTTTAACAACAACAGCACACCTCAGAAGTCAGGAATGCTGACTTTATGTAACTTCAGTCGTCATGTCCTCATTTTGTTTTAGGTTGTGTAGTCATGATGTGCTTTAGAGGGCGTCCCCATATGGTACAACCCAACGAGTTTAGAGTGTGTGTGTGTTACATCGTACTCATATTGTTGGATAGTAGATATCGTCTTTAGGTTGTGTAGTCATGATGTGTTTCAGAGAACGTCCCCATATGGTACAACCCAACGAGTGTAGAGTGTGTGTGTGTTACATCGTCCTCATATTGTTGGGTAGTAGATATCGTCTTTAGTCTGTGTAGTCATGATGTGTTTTGGTGGACGTCCCCATTTGGTACAACCCAACGAGTGTAGAGAGTGTGTGTTTCATCGTCCTCATATTGTTGTGTAGCAGATATTGTACAGTTCAAACTATTTCTATAGAGTCTTGAGTTACAAGCCCAGATCCTCATGTGAATTGTTTTTACTAAAATCTGTGTCCCCTACATGAAAAGTCAATTGGTTTCTGACACGTTATTGTTGTATTTTAAATTGCAGAAACTGAGTGACATGATCGCGGCTCAGCCTTTAGCTGACTCTGAAGCAAGCCAGAGATACACCTCATCCTTCCAACAGGTAATTAAGCCTTGTGTTGTGTTTGAAAGCTGTTACCCTTCATGGTGTTCACGGGTCAATTTTGACCCATGATTTATCTCAGTCCAAAACACTCACAAATAATGACTATCATCCAATATTGTTTTAACTACATCATAACTAACTTCTAATGCATTCATAACCATACAATCCTGTTGTAATGTTATTGTATGGCCCCAAAACACATTACACAACATATTGCACACGTTCAGGTTCAAGTGTTAGTGTACATATTCTTTGTGAAAGGTCAAGTTCCCGTGGGGGGAGGGGGGCCAGAGGGATGGGAGACCAGGTGCATGTTGCGCAAAAAATATTGTTACAGTGGATGAAGGGGGTGGGGTGTCTAAAGTCAAAGATGAATCTTGATTGGGCCAAATTTGACCCCGAGTCACCCACAACAATTCTGCTCGGTCTAACCAGACCCGAACACCAAATTATACACTTATTTTTTAGAGACCTTCAGACTTGGCTAAAATTGTCAAAATCAGTTTTGTAGTGTTTATATAGCTGTTGTGGAGGATATCATGATGCCTTGTTCCGATAAAAAAACTAGATCGTAGTTATTATATAATTTGAATTTGAAACGGGTCACGGGAGACCCGAACACAACATAAGGGTTAATTAAACATTTACTGTAGACTATTTCTATGCAAGGTAAATTCATATCTCAATCAAGTCCAATGCCTACATAAAATGCCTTTTTACCTAATTAAAATTAATATATTGTTTAATAAATGTAGAATCTCAATATAACTGTTACTTGTTTCTAAATATCATAGTAGAAAGATATACCCCTACCATTTGATAGCAGTAACTACCTCTTAAAACATGAAAATGATCTTTATTGCCCCTAAATTCTGTGTGTTTTCTCCTTTTGCCAATGTGTTTTCCAATTGAACCTAATGTGTATCAGTTTACATGATCTAATTAATAGGGAAGTAGATCCATACTTATTACTATGGGGGTTTCAGGTTTTTTTAACAACAACAGCACACCTCAGAAGTCAGGAATGCTGACTTTATGTAACTTCAGTCGTCATGTCCTCATTTTGTTTTAGGTTGGGTAGTCATGATGTGTTTTAGAGGGCGTTCCCATATGGTACAACCCAACGAGTGTAGAGTGTGTGTGTGTTACATCGTCCTCATATTGTTGGATAGTAGATATCGTCTTTAGGTTGGGTAGTCATGATGTGTTTCAGAGGATGTCCCCATATGGTACAACCCAACGAGTGTAGAGTGTGTGTGTGTTACATCGTCCTCATATTGTTGGATAGCAGATATCGTCTTTAGGTTGGGTAGTCATGATGTGTTTTGGTGGACGTCCCCATTTGCTACAACCCAACGAGTGTAGAGTGTGCGTGTTTCATCGTCCTCATATTGTTGTGTAGCAGATATTGTACAGTTCAAACTATTTCTATAGAGTCTTGAGTTACAAGCCCAGATCCTCATGTGAATTGTTTTTACTAAAATCTGTGTCCCCTACATGAAAGGTCAATGGATTTCTGACACGTTATTGTTGTATTTTAAATTGCAGAAACTGAATGACATGATCGCGGCTCAGCCTTTAGCTGACTCTGAAAGGAGCCAGAGATCCACCTCATCCTTCCAACAGGTAATTAAACATTTACTCTAGACTATTTCTATACAAGGTACATTCATGTCTCAATCAAGTCCAATGCCTACATATAATGCCTTTTATCTGCATTAACACAAAGGTGTTGTGAAAAAACGTTCACAATGTCAAGACTGACTGTTGTTTCTAAATACCATAGTGGAAAGATATACCCCTACCATTTGATAGCAGTAACTACCTCTTAAAACATGAAAATGATCTTTATTGCCCCTAAATTCTGTGTGTTTTCTCCTTTTGCCAATGTGTTTTCCAATTTAACCTAATGTGTATCAGTTTCCATGATCTAATTAATAGGGAAGTAGAATCATACTTATTACTATGGGGGTTTCAGGTTTTTTTAACAACATCAACACACCTCAGAAGTCAGGAACACTGACTTTATGTAACTTCAGTCGTCATGTCCTCATTTTGTTTTAGGTTGTGTAGTCATGATGTGTTTTAGAGGACGTCCCCATATGGTACAACCCAACGAGTGTAGAATGTGTGTGTTACATCGTACTCATATTGTTGGATAGCAGATATCGTCTTTAGGTTGTGTAGTCATGATGTGTTTCAGAGGACGTCCCCATATGGTACAACCCAACGAGTTTAGAGTGTGTGTGTGTTACATCGTCCTCATATTGTTGGATAGCAGATATCGTCTTTAGGTTGTGTAGTCATGATGTGTTTCAGAGGACGTCCCCATATGGTACAACCCAACGAGTTTAGAGTGTGTGTGTGTTACATCGTCCTCATATTGTTGGATAGCAGATATCGTCTTTAGGTTGTGTAGTCATGATGTGTTTCAGAGGACGTCCCCATTTGGTACAACCCAACGAGTGTAGAGTGTGTGTGTGTTACATCGTCCTCATATTGTGGGCTAGCAGATATTGTACAGTTCAAACTATTTCTATAGAGTCTTGAGTTACAAGCCCAGATCCTCATGTGAATTGTTTTTACTAAAATCTGTGTCCCCTACATGAAAAGTCAATTGGTTTCTGACACGTTATTGTTGTATTTTAAATTGCAGAAACTGAGTGACATGATCGCGGCTCAGCCTTTAGCTGACTCTGAAGCGAGCCAGAGATCCACCTCATCCTTCCAACAGGTAATTAAACATTTACTGTAGACTATTTCTATACAAGGTACATTCATGTCTCAATCAAGTCCAATGCCTACATAAAATGCCTGTTTACCTCATTACAATTAATATATTGTTTAATAAATGTTGAATCTCAATATAACTGTTACTTGTTTCTAAATATCATAGTAGAAAGATATACCCCTACCATTTGATAGCAGTAACTACCTCTTATAACATGAAAATTATCTTTATTGCCCCTAAATTCTGTGTTTTTTCTCCTTTTGCCAATGTGTTTTCCAATTGAACCTAATGTGCATCAGTTTACATGATCTAATTAATAGGGAAGTAGATCCATACTTATTACTATGGGGGTTTCAGGTTTTTTTAACAACAACAGCACACCTCAGAAGTCAGGAACACTGACTTTATGTAACTTCAGTCGTCATGTCCTCATTTTGTTTTAGGTTCTGTAGTCATGATGTGCTTTAGAGGACGTCCCCATATGGTACAACCCAACGAGTGTAGAGTGTGTGTGTTACATCGTCCTCATATTGTTGGGTAGCAGATATTGTACAGTTCAAACTATTTCTATATTGGAACCCAAATAACACACTATTTGATCTAAATATACTTATGGTGAAAACAATTATTAAGTCTTGCTTTCGAAGGAATGGCAGTATGTGCTTTTATCATGCATTATATTCTAATTTATCCTTTCAGATTCACAGAAGAACACAACACTTCACTTCAACAAAGCTTCCTCAAAGTGCTCCAATGGAATGCTAGGTAAATAAGCATTTTGTATTTACATTACTCTATTAGAAAAATGTATTGATCTTAACTGGATTTCTAAAGGACATTTCTAGTTTTTTGTACAACTAATGCACTTTACAGTACATGCCAACATATACCCATTCACATGCAAATGTATGCCAACACTTTTACCATTCATACACTGATCACAGAGGCCATCATTCACACACATTTGATGATGCTATCATTTAACTACAAACTATAATTTGTTCTATCATATCCCACATTTATCACTTTAACAGAGCAATTTCTCAAATACATTGTGTCTTGTTTCCATTTATGACAGCTGGGAAGATGAAAGCAAGTGGACAGGTGACGAAGTGAAGGCTACTGAGCGGCATTTGTATCCTTAACAAGCTGCAGAGTACCAGGTAAAAAGGACTGTGACTCCTGTCTCAAGGCAGAGCCAGTTGCTCTGAAAGACAGGGACTGGGTTGCCATCAAATATTACATTCACAACAGAATCATGGCATTAAAAAGGAAGATGAATACATAGGACTAGAACATGCCAACTTGGTCTGAGGTACAATTTTACTTTAAAATAATAGTTGTTTCTTCATTCCCTGCAGTTTTATTGGTAGGGATTTAATAATCAGCCTAACCTCAGACATCTTGTGTTAATGTGTGTACTTGGCTTGGTTTTGATATTATCTTGTTTTCCTTGAATTATTTAATTAGTTTTGTTCTTGTACAAGCATGTCACATAAGCTTGACTGTAGCTGCCAAATGTTAATATGTTGACATGTATCCATGAGGGATTTTAATGTGTTTTCCAACCCCCCTCTCGTGGTCACTTTCAGCCAACAGAAATTGTGTTTTTGACGATTATTTACAGTTATGCCATCATTTCTTTCATAAATAAGGTTTGAGATGATAGGTTAATACTATGTTCTGTCTCAACAAATAATATAACTAGTACTTCAAAAGATTGTTACTTCCATCATTATTTCCCAAGTTTTCACCATTGATTTGTTCTTGCCCACAAGTTGTTTGATGTGGTCTTTCAACTATTAAGAAATTATTTGGAGTGGGGGCTACTTGTAACATGTCTCATTTATGGTAACTTTGGTAAACTATATTAAACGTTGTAAGTTATTTAGACTGGTTAACTAAACATAGTGTACACTTGTCATGTTTTGTGCTTTTTACAAGAAAAACACTAAAGAGAAAGTTGCTCATAACTTTCAAACATGCCATATCTACTTCACTGCCTCACACAATGGAGGATAGGGGCTAAAGTTTCTGGGTTGTGGGTGGTCTATTCTGGGTGTAAAAAATGGTTATTTTACAATTTATATGACCAAATAATTGGTTGTTAGGTTCTAAGTCGACAAACAATGTTTTTAAGTTGTTGCTATTAGTCTTTCTCATAACAGGCAAATGATGAACCCAACTCTGGCAACAATAATACTCAGACATGTTTTTTAGTTAAAAAGCACTACATTTTGGAAAGTTGACATAATCCTGTGACTTTTAGTTGACTAAGAATTATTTAATCAAAGGCAGCGCCTGTCACCATGGTTCCATCTTTATGCAACATGAATCAAGCATAATAGAATACATTTGATTTATATAGCACACTTTAAAGACAACGTCATCTCAATGTGCTTATAGAGTATATCCTTATATACAATATCCTTATTGTTAGGTAAAGGAATAGTCATGAGGGCACCCTCTTTTAATTTCATATTTGCTCCTATTCTGGTTTATACTTCAATTTATATATTTTGCCAGCAATTCATTAAATGTAGAAACAAATAAAGTGTTTCATCCTTTTTTTCACATAAACGTTTATTAGAGAATTTGTAAATTGAAAAACATTAAGACTTTAAGAGTAAACTGACCACAATTAAATGCTATATACCTTTTTAACTTAGCTTTTTTATGTTTCTGGACTGCTCAGTTTTAATATGTTGTATCAACAAGTTAATATGAATAGACTTTTTGTGTCAGAGGTTACCTGACTGGCGAACATGAGTAATTATTTAATGTTGAAGTTTTAGTTTTTTAATGTACACCGATCCTTCTTATGCAGATATTTCAATCATAAGTAATAAAGGCATAGTTGCAAATACAGACTCTATTTTGTGTATTACTGGGTCTCCATAAGTCCCTTAAACTTGAAAATGTAGTGTGTATCTATGGGGTCACAATTCATATAAACATGAAATATCAGTGTGTGTTGCTAAGGGGCTCATAAGTCACATAAACCTGTTCATGTCCTCATAAGTAGTATTAAAATCAGGTTTCCGCAAAATATAGCATTAGACAAAATCTCAATAGATGGATGTCTTCCAGGAAGCATGGATATGAAATGCTGTGATTCCCAGGTCCCTAGGACCTTTGGAAAGGCATGTCCCAATTTGTCACGTTTTTTTCACACGTCCTGATATATCCTATAAACACGTATGTGTGTGTGTGTGTGTGTGTGTGTGTGTGTGTGTGTGTGTGTGTGTGTGTGTGTGTGTGTGTGTGTGTGTGTGTGTGTGTGTGTGTGTGTGTGTGTGTGTGTGTGTGTGTGTGTGTGTGTGGTGTTGTGGTGTGGGTGTGTGTGTGTGTGTTGTGTGTGTGTGTGTGTGTGTGTGTGTGTGTGTGTGTGTGTGTGTGTGTGTGTGTGTGTGTGTGTGTGTGTGTGTGTGTGTGTGTGTGTGTGTGTGTGTGTGTGTGTGTGTGTGTGTGTGTGTGTGTGTGTGTGTGTTTTATAGACTACCACTTGGAGCAGGTGGGAGGCTGGCCCCTGGATTCTCTGCAGGTGGGTCAGGTGTCAGGACTGGCCCTCGACTCAGATTCTAACCTGGTGATTTTCCACAGAGGGGACCATCACTGGGGGGCAGAGTAAGTCACTTTCACTTTTTGATATACATATTTTTCTGTTCATAGATGACTTCTGTCAGTCCTAAACCTCATACCTTAATGTTTATAATTAGAGAGAGAGAGCTCACTACCACCACCATGTTCAGCTTTCCATCAATGGACATGTAATCCATCACAGGCAGACAGATGTGCTTTATATTATATCCCACATTTCCCCCATGTTAAGGCCTGTAGCCAATGTAGGGCGAAGGTACCTCAAAATGTGCTTTTAGACAGTGACTGCCAGTCTTGCCAGGACCTATACTGCAGACAAAAATGACTAAAATAATAAGATCTTAAAGGTTACCTATTATGCTATATTCAGGGATGCAAACTTGTCACCTTTCGGCAAAATTCGCCGTTTTCAATCCAAAATAGGTCGTTTGTGTGATTCATGTAGATCTGCAATAAAAATATTTTCGGGGTATGGGGGGGGTCTGGGACCCGGAGTAATCTGCGGCCGCGAGCTGTTATGTGCCATCATGACACGCATGGTGTTCTTTTTTTATATATTATAATGAAGCGCGAGCTGTGTGCTCGAGTCTTCCTGCCTGTCAGCTCTGCTCATGGATGTATAATAAGGCTCTGCTGCTCCGGGATGAGGGTCTAGCTTCAGCAGCTACATTACCTACGGTGCGTTCGTTAATATTAACTGTGCGGTCCGGAGTCACTGTGGCACAGACTGGACCGCTGGTGAACAGCTGTTAGAACGGGCCGTTCAGAGCAGAGCTCCCTGTCGGAGCGGCAGAGCGTGATGTGCACTGAAAAGTTTTTCTGTCGCAATATTATTTAATGAATCGTTGAGCTAGCTAACTAGCATACATTTTCACTATCTGCTAACGTTAGCTTTAGCCTTCGTTTTCAAATAGTTTTTTTCATAGGCTATAAACGGAGGTGGTATAAGTATATATCTTGTACTTGAGTAAAAGTAGAAGCACTGAGATCTTGTACTAGAGTAAAAGTAGAAGTACTCAGATCTTGTACTTGAGTAAAAGTAGAAGTACTCAGGTCTTGTACTCGAGTAAAAGTAGAAGTACTCAGGTCTTGTACTTGAGTAAAAGTAGAAGGAGTCAGATCTTGTACTTGAGTAAAAGTAGAAGGAGTCAGATCTTGTACTTGAATTAAAGTAGAAGTACTCAGGTCTTGTACTTGAGTAAAAGTAGAAGTGCCAGAGTGTAGGAATACTCTGTTACAGTAAAAGTCCTGCATTCAAAATGTTCCTCAAGTAAAAGTAGAAAAGTATTCTCATCAAAATATAGTTAAAGGAGCGACAGTAAAAGTAGTCATTGTGCAGATTGGTCCATTTCAGAATAATATATATGATATGTTTTATAATGATTGATCATCAAAGTGTTCTCAAAGCTGGTAAAGGTGCAGCTAGTTTGAATGACTTTGTATACTGCAGGGTAGCTTGTGAATTTACTCCAGGTGGAACTAAAGTCTGATTTAACACTTGATTATATTTCACATCATTAATCCACATCTGTAAAGTAACTAAAGGTATTAAATACATGTAGTGGAGTCAAGTACACAATTTACCTCTGAACTGTAGAGGAGCAGAAGAACAAAGTAGCAAAACATTGAAATACTTAAATAAAGTACAAGTATCTCAAAATTGTACCCAAGTATAGTACTTGAGTTTATGAACTTAGTTACTTTACACCACTGGCTATAAATATAGAAAGACTAAGCCTTGCACAGAGGCATGAAAATACATTTTCAAAATGCTCAACAGTGCTGCCAAAATTATAAACTGACTGCTACACAATTAAAATAAATGCTTTTATACATTTCTATTAGATGTGACTCCTTGGCGTTTCTGTTATTATTAACTGCTTTAGTTGTTCTGACTGCTAAAATCCTCTGTTATTCCTCATTTTAAAGCCGATATTCCGTGGGGTCGGGGGGCTCGGATCCTTGTCACCTTTTTCATACCTGATGAGTTTGCATCCCTGTATATTTGAGCAATATATTATAGGGCCATATCTATACAAAACATGTCTCTGAAGTGTTTTTCTCAAAATACCCATATTATATCACCCATTGTAGCTTCCCTCATACCCCTCCATTTCAGCCCTGTTACTAAAGTGCTGATTCTGGGTCTGGCCCTTTAAATGTAACCAAGCTGCTGCTGGCCACGCCCCTTTGGAGCATCCACATGCAAGCAGTGAGCTCTGTGAAGAGAATGCTGTCTACCAGCAGAAACTCAGCTAAACGCTGCCGTGATTAAACGCCATATTATGTTCCAAACCACATCAAGCATTATTTCTGAAACAGTATGGAGCTCAAACGCTTTCTCTCTCGCAGGTTTACCACAAGGACAGTACCTTTTATATCCGGCTTCTTTACACATACTTTCTCCAGTACAGCGTTAGCTCTGAGTGTTAGCGGTGCTTGCTAATGTAAACACAGACCATATTACTTCCAAAACACATCGGGCATTTGTTTCTGATAGCGACGTTTCTGAAAAGGGACAATAGGGACGTGGGCGGAACGTTTCCAGGAGTTCAACGTAAAGCCAGCCCACATTTTAGTAATGATGTCAAGTTCTCAACAAATCTGGATCAGTTCCGTTGTACCCCCGTTTTAAGAGATTTAGGTAAGGAGGAAAAGAGAGAGGGTTTTATTTTCTGACACTTTGTGAGTCTCCTTACACACCAGGGACACATATTTTTGTATAAAAGACATCAAAAAGTGCATTTTGCATAATAGGTGACCTTTAATGTTGAATAACACACTGTCATAGCAATTATACATTAATTGGTTCACAAATTGCCTTTGCTACTGGTCTGCTTAGAAACACAAAACCGTTTGTTCCAGCTCTTTTAACAGCCAGGCTAGATACCAGCAGAGGTCCGTGGGTCCTATTCAGCAGTCCACTATCTTGGTTGTGGACCCAACCAAAGGCACCATCTTGAAGGCTTCTGGCAGAGACATGTGAGTCATTGTTTTCTCTATGATGATGAATGAAGGCAAGTGATGAGTATGAACAGGCAACCATGTACAGTATATTTGGTACTTCCTGCATTAAACCTGAGTCAGAACTTGCATTGATTCACATCTCTGATGTTGCAGGTTCTACTTGCCTCACGGAATAACTACAGACAAGAATAATAACTACTGGGTCACAGATGTGGCTCTTCATCAGGTAATGTGCAAGATTTATTTGAGCCCAACTTACTAAGTTCCATTCGTAAATCATTTATGATTTGTATTGATAATTGAATGTACTACATATGAACTGTTTTAAAAAAATTGAGGGAAATCTCTGGTCATTCCCATCCGACTATATTTCCTCTACAGTTCGTAATGATTATCTGCTAATGGTGAACTAATCACTTACACATAATCATTTACATTTGGAAATGATTTACAAATAATTGTTACATAAACGAAAATGTTCAGCGAGCGTCATTAAAGGTCACCTATTATGCGATATTTCAACAATATATTATAGGGCCATATCTATACAAAACATGTCCCTGTAGTGTTTTGCTCAAAATACCAAACAGATCACCCATTTTAGCATGCCTCATACCCCTCTATTTCAGCCCTGTTACTAACCTGTTAGGCCCCAAGCCTGTTTTTCAGGTCTCAGGCTCGAAAATGACATTTCCAGAACAAATGACCATAACTACACTTCTAAAAGGGGAAAATTAATAATCTTTTTTCTCAAAGTAATGATAAACCTGTGAGTTGGATGTAGAAAAGTCAGAATCAATATAGATGTTTTTTATTTTAAAGAAAATTCAGATTGAACATAGTAAAAAACTGTAAATTATAGTGTCCGTCCAAAAATTCTTTTTTACTTATAGTGAAAACTACCCTTGGGTGATGGGTTAGTAGACTAAAAGCTTTAGGAATCCAAAGTACAACATATAATAAGTACCCTGTATCAAGATTGATGCTAAACAAGTGACATTTGACCTTTTTAGAGAGGTTTAGCAAAAAAAACTCCACCTCTGGGGCCATTTGGGTGGAAATAGGCGTTTTTGGCGTTTCTCTGGAACCCATTGGTCGATTTTGATGATTGACATCTTTTTTTAACTGCTAGAGCCAATGGAATCGAGGGAAAGTTCCACATACACACACAGGTTACCAAATAAGGAGTGAGAGTGACGCATAGCCAAAACCGGAGCTGCAACACACTCTGGTGGCTACCATTAGCAGCTAATTTGTATTCTCTGATTTTTGCACAAAAATTGAATTATGGATTATCAATCATTTTTTCAAAGTGACAGACGCGTTTTTTCTCGTTTTTTCTCGTTTTAATGCCATTGAACACGACTTTTGATCAGAATAACAGCTAAGGTGTTTTGCTACCTAAAGCTACGTCGTGTGTTGTCTCTATTTGCTTCCCCTGTCACGAGTTCTGATCGTTCAGTGATGATCCTTATATTTCTATAATCTGTGGACTCTCAGGATGTTAGCTAAGATTGTTTGTGCAGATCCAAGAAGTATATCGATCGGTATAGCTAGAGTTCTGTGCTAACGGCGTTAAGATTGTTTTGCATAGGGCTAATTCAGAGGCTCAGCGTTAGCCTTGTGTTTTTTTTTGCAAAAAAAAAAAAATCTTCAGTTAGCTGAGTTTCTTCCCGTTACATGGATATGAAACATTCATAGTTTATTAAATCTTAAGAACCCCTCAGACACTGTTGCTTGCAGATGTTGTGGTTTTGGACCCGTCAGGCTAAAGTGCTGATTCTGGGTCTGGCCCTTTAAATGTAACTGAGCTGCTGCTGCTGGCCACGCCCCTTTGGAGCTGCTGCTGGCCACGCCCTTTTGGAGCGTCCGCATGCAAGCAGTGAGCTCTGTGAAGAGAAGGCTGTCTACCAGCAGAAACTCAGCTAAACACTGCCGTGATTAAACGCCATATTATGTTCCAAACCACATCAAGCATTATTTCTGAAACAGTATGGAGCTGAAACGCTTTCTCTCTCGCGGGTTTACCACAAGGACAGTACTTTTTGCGATGCGGGTGGGGATGGATAGGAGGTTGGCTTCTGATGAGCGGAGGCAGCGGGAAGGGGTGTGGTGGTGCAGCAGGTCTGTGAGGTAGGGGGGGAACTGGTTGTTGAGGGCTTTGTGAGTAATCAGGAGGACTTTGAAGTCGATTCTTTGACGAACGGGGAGCCAGTGGAGGTTCTGGAGGACGGGAGTGATGTAGTCTCGGGAGCGGGTGTGGGTGAGGAGGCGGGCAGCAGAGTTCTGGATATGTTGAAGTTTATTGAGGAGGTTGGATGGTATGCCATAGAGCAGGGGTGCCCAACCAGTTGATCGATCGCGAGATGTGTCTAAAAATAGACCAACAATATTCTGTTTTATCGTTAATAACATAATCTTCCTGTGCCAGAATAATGCACTTGAACGCATCAAAGCTTTGTGATTGGCGTGACCCCATGTGTCGGGCCGTGGCTGGTGGGCAGCGGGCACTTGTTCGCTGACGTTGTTCGTGGCAACAGGAGTGACAGTCCGCACACACACAAGACCGCAATTATGGCAGAAGCAAAAAAGCCAAAAATATATAATTTTCACTCCAAGTGGGAGGATGATTATTTTTTTGTCTATTCATATTCAAAGTCCATCTGTCTCATCTGCAATGCGAGCGTGGCTTTACCGAAGAAGGGTAATTTAGAGCGTCATTTTAAAACAGTGCACAAACGCTATGAGACGGTATTCCCTCCTAATTCTGCCCTACGCTCCCAAAAGGTGAGGGACCTGAAAGGACATTTAAATGCACAGCAGTCCATTTTCACCAGGCCCAACAACAAAAGCAAGGCTGCTACCATAGCTAGTTAACAAAGTCGCTTGACAGAAGGGAGGAGGGGGAAGGGGCTTTGGGGGGTTCTAAGAGGGTGGAAAAGATGGAAAATAATTTTTTGGGATTGGAATAGGAAGAATGGATCTTATCTTGAAAGAAAGTGCTTTTTGCCTGAGAGATCGAAGCAGAGAAAGAGGAGAGGAGAGCTAGGTTAGGAGGTCGTCATGGTGTTTGGATTTCCACCATTTCCGCTCAGCTGCCCGAAGGATGGTTCTATTAGCAAGCAGTGCGTCATTTAGCCAGGGAGCAGGAGGTGACTGACGAGCCTGTCGAGATGTGAGAGGACAGAGAGAGTCCAGAGAGGATGAAAGAGTAGAGAGGAGAGTTTCTGCAGCAGAGTTTGGAGGCAGGAGTTGGAACGAGTCAGACGAAGGGAGGGCTGAGAGCACCGATGAGGTCAAAGTAGAGGGGGAGAGGGAACGAAGGTTACGGCGGACAGGTGCAGAATTAGAAGAGATTAGTTTGTTATGTTTGGAAAGGGGTAGAGCGAATGAAATGAAAAAGTGATCGGATGTGTGAAGTGGGTTTACAGAGAGGTTAGAAGTAGTGCAGTTCCTTGAGAATATGAGATCGAGGACATTGCCAGCTTTATGCGTTGGTGGGGATGGAGACAGTGAGAAAGCAAAGGCGGTTAAAAGAGATGTTAGTTCAGATATCTTCCCTGTCTGGAGGTTGAAGTCTCCGAGAAGTACAGTGGGAGGGCCAGTTTCAGGGATGTGTGAGAGGAGATTATCTAATTCCTCCAAGAAGTCCCCCAAGGCGCCTGGTGGACGGTAGAGAACAACAATGGTTAATTGTATAGGATGGGTTACTGTGACGGCATGGAATTCAAAGGTGGAAGGAGTGAAGTTAGGTAGCTTGAAGAGGGAAATGCTCCTTTTGGGAGAGAGCAGGAGACAAGTGCCACCTCCTCTGCCTGTGGGTCTGGGTGTATGGGAGAAGGAATATGCTGTGGAGAGAGCTGCTGGGGTGGATGTGTTGGATGGTGTAATCCAGGTCTCAGTGAGAGCAAGGAAATCCAGAGACTGCAGGGAAGCGTAGCCAAACATTGCGTCACCATTAAAGCAGTTAATAAAATAAAGAAAGTGGCCTATTATCCAGGGGAGATGTGATTAGTGAGTAAACAAACGGTAAAGGAAAGAAAACTTGAAGCACATTTGATCATCTTAAATAACTTATAATCACAACGGGAACAGTTCGCAGAGCTGTCATTGGATGAGATCAGTCCAGCCTGTGCGTCACGCCTCTTTTAAACATCACTGTTGCCGGAAATACATCCCCGGAGGATACATCAGTGTATCCTCAGTTATAGCTCCTCCAGAGAGCCTCCTCTCCTCTCCTCTACATCAGTGTATCCTCGGTTATAGCTCCTCCAGAGAGCCTTCTCTCTCCTCTCCTCTCCTCTACATCAGTGTATCCTCGGTTATAGCTCCTCCAGAGAGCCTTCTCTCTCCTCTCCTCTACATCAGTGTATCCTCGGTTATAGCTCCTCCAGAGAGCCTCCTCTCTCCTCTCCTCTCCTCTACATCAGTGTATCCTCAGTTATAGCTCCTCCAGAGAGCCTTCTCTCTCCTCTCCTCTCCTCTACATCAGTGTATCCTCAGTTATAGCTCCTCCAGAGAGCCTCCTCTCTCCTCTCCTCTCCTCTACATCAGTGTATCCTCGGTTATAGCTCCTCCAGAGAGCCTCCTCCTGCATCTAGTCCCTTATTCAAAGTAATCTTAGCAGGGGAAAGGCAGAATAAAACACAATCAAGTATTCAACTACCATACACTAAGAGTCATTCGTAAGCAGAAGGTCTATATTCAGAATAGATTGAACACACAGATTTAATCTATGCATACATAATGAACCTGGAACCCTTCTGTACACTCACCAGGTGGTAAAGGTGAGCAGCGATGGTAGAGATAGAACAGTGCTGGCATTAGGAGAGGCTTTCACACCAGGCAGTGACAGCAGCCACTTCTGCCAGCCCACCGACGTGGCTGTGGACGGAGACACTGGAAACATCTTTGTGTCTGATGGCTACTGCAACGCCAGGATCCTCAAGTTCTCTGCTGATGGCCGATACTTGTCTGAGTGGGGTGCAGGTAGGAAACTGGCTCAACATTGTAGACAGTTCAAACATAGCAAAACAGTTGAACTTGTGGATGGAGCACAGGGACACAGCACAGGGAATCACACTCTCAAGTTGTATCCGCCCATACACATAGCACAGAGGCACAGCAGCCGCTTCTCCTTCCTATTCACTTAGCCCACAATACATTTGAAAAATGAGAACATCTGAGCCTCCTTCCATCCACAGATCATTTTCACAGCTAGACACAACAGCTCATTTGATTCGATAGAAACATTTGTTCCTTCAACATTAAGACACAACAGAGTACAACAGCCCCAATAGCTGGCTGTAATTACAAACAAAACAAAAAAAGTTTTCAATAAAGAAGGCTCATTTACTGACATTTACCTGAGCAAAATTCACCACGTTTAAAACAAGACATTAAGAGTAACATTTGGGCTCCTACACACATATTCACCCATAGTGCTAAATATTTTAAAGCAGGGTTTTGATAGATGATTACAATTTTGTATTAACAAAATTAAATACAATTTAAACAAACATTTAGAGTTTCTCTTTAAGTAAGCTTATAAATTAAATGCAGAGCATTTATTGCAAGGCTTATTTCAGCGTGTAATGTGTTTTTATGTAACGTATACACAAATGTAACACAACTATTGCATCAAGCATCACCAACAACACACACCATTCTAAATCATAGCTGGCAGGAAAGCTTCCAAATGCAAACCCAGTTTTTTAGTTCTAATGAATTGCAGTCCTTTGACGAGAATCGAGGGAGAGATGAGATGTCCAATGAATAAGTGAAGCTGTTGATCATAAGCATAAACATGCTGTAAAACTCAAGAAGACAAGAAACAAATCTCGTCCAGTACTCTTAAAATGCCTGCTGCTTCAGAAATGTTCTAAATTCCAAAGTTTTAATAACTTCAGAAGATTCTATGTTTACTTGAGGACCGATCTAAAGGAGTCAAGAGTTCAACAGTTTGGTGATTGAGTTTGAACTTTAAGAGTACAGGCTCCATCAGTCCGTATGGTGTTTGCTTGGGCAAGAAACTGAACCCAAAATTACTCCGGAAGCCATAGACATGCATGTTAGTTTGTGTGAATGTGTGTTAGTTGATGATGAGCCATTTTGCGCCTTGTTTGGTTTTGTGTCTCTCGAAGCAATGTGTGACAGGGTCTAAGTGTCTGGCTCAGAAAAATCATGGACTGCTGTGGTCCCCAAAAAAGTGACCACTACTTAACCGAGCTTTGTGAAACGTGACCTCACTCCACTGTTTTCAACCGGTTCCCCCTGTGAATCAGTTTATGAGAATTGTAAGAACAAACCTCACTGAAAAAAGTAAGAGAAGTGTAAGGTATGGATACTTTTCTTTGTTTGTTTTTTTGCTAAAGGCTCATCAGACAGGAGGAGGCGCATACCATTCCGGATCCCCCACAGCCTGGTGTTCCTCCCCGACAGACAGGAAGTCTGTGTGGCTGACAGGGAGAACGGACGCATCCAGTGCTTCATAGCCCAAACTGGAGAGTTTGTTAAGGAAATCAAGAAAGAGGAGTTTGGGGGGGAGGTGTTTGCCATCACGTATAGCCCTGCTGGAGGTGAGATCATGAACACTCATCACACCTTCATTTCCTGTTGCTCAGTTGTAATGCCCAAACTGTGGCCTGTACTAGAAGCCATATTTGGGGTAAGCGAGGTAACTTCATGTTTAAATCTGGGTTCAGAACACTGAGAATCAGTCTTCAAGTTCACCACTGAGAGTAAGCACAGCCTTATTAAGACAATGATAAACTGGCACTATTACAACTTTTAATGTGAACAATCCATCTAATCTTGTTTGCCTGATGTTTGACATATTGGCGAGAAAGCAGAAATCATTTTGATTTTTTTTACAAGTATCTATAAGATAATTTTGTAGGAAAACCTTATCATATGAAATAGGGATGTAACGATACACTCAACTCACGATACGATTCACGATTTTAAGTTCACGATACGATTTTCTCACGATTTCTTTTTTTTTTAACCTGTTAAGCCCTGAGCCTGTTTTTCAGGTCTCAGGCTCGAAAATGACATTCCCAGAACAAATGACCATATCTTCCCTTCTAAAAGGGTTAAATTAATAATCTTTTTTCTCAAAGTAATGATAAACCTGTGAGTTGGATGTAGAAAAGTCAGAATCAATATAGATGTTTTTTATTTTAAAGAAAATTCAGATTTTACATAGTAAAAAACTGTAAATTATAGTGTCCGTCCAAAAATTCTTTTTTACTTATAGTGAAAACTACCCTTGGATGATGGTAAGGTAGACTAAAAGCTTTAGGAATCCAAAGTACAACATATAATAAGTACCCTGTATCAAGATTGATGCAAAACAAGTGACATTTTACATTTTTTAGAGAGATTTAGCAAAAAACACTCCACCTCCGAGGTGATTTGGGTGGAAATGGGTTTTTTTCCATATCTCTGGAACCCATTGGTCGATTTTGATGGTTGACACCTCTTTCTGACCGTACACTTTTTCAGTTTTTCCTTCGGATAAATACTTCATTATTTGTAAATGTATTTTCCTAAAGCAAGACATATTTGCATGTGCATCCAACATATAGTTGTGAACCCTCTTTTTTTACATGTGCAATCTCTTAACTTTTTGTATCTTAAAGGTGGGGTAGGTAAGTTTGAGAAACCGGCTCGAGATACTTTTTGTTATATTCCATGGAATGCTCTTAACATCCCGATAGCAATGAATATCTTAAGTGCTTTGACAAAAAATCCATAAAAAAAATTCATCTGTGGAAGCCGTAGTACTGTAAAAAGCACGACCAATCATTTTAGCCGGCCCGGCTAAAATAACTGGATGGCCTACCTGCCTGTCAGCCTTCCATCTGTGCACAAACTTACGTATCTCGTGCCCTCATTGGTCATGTGCGCGTTCGTGTGTGTTGGAGGAGGGGCTCTGTAAGGAAGTAGCAGATTTCTTCCGGCTGTGTATTTTCAAATTCTAGCACACTCGAGCTGGTTTCTCCAAAATTACCTACCCCACCTTTAAGAGTGTGATTTGCTTAACCCAATACCTGTACGATCCTAAACTGCCATCCATTTTTTGTCAAAGAAACCTTTTGCCATGGTGGGGAAGACATGATTACAGTAGCTTTACATGAAATGTACAATGTGTCATCTACACTTAATAAACAGCAGCATAATGTATAAGTTGTACATTATCTTTAGCCGGAAAGTTGACACAAGAAGTGATATTTAACTCCTTGAGGCAATGTCAGATATTTATGAACTTGAAAGTTGTGTTTGCCGACCTTTATTAACACCACTATAGCTGGAAATCCTGCAAAATGACGTGCAGGTTCATGTTTTATTTAAAATGTATCATGTTGCTGTGCCCTACATAAATCATGTCAACAAATGGTCTCCTGTCCTCGCATCTATAAACCTGTTCATTGTCTGATACAATGCGTATGCATGGTATCAGTGAGACAAGGTGCCTGTGAAGAACAAGAGAGAAGGATACTAACAAACAGGTCCCACTACAGGAAAAGTCTCGGGACCCTGTTTACTTCTGGTCGGACAACCAGACTACAGTACAGCTAACTTCCTCAGGCTGAGAGTCAGCCACTCCTCCTCCACACTCCATATGTTATAGCTAATGTGCATTAACAAGGCAGAAATATTAATTCAGGGGTTTGTTAGCAAATTGAACTAACTGTGACAAGTTTTGCCTGCATATCATTTCAGTAGCCTTATCCTAACTGTATAAGGACCCTCACTTCCTGATATCACTGTATCACACCTGGATGTGAAAGCTGATAAAACAACCCAGAAATTTGCTCGCCCTCACACCTCATGCTTTTTAGGAAGAGGTTTTATCACAGCTACTTTAAAAGACTGTGGTACATACAGTAGTACTTGGTCTGTGAAAAGTTGCATTGTGTCTTGCTGTGTTCTGAAGGTGATTTTATAAGTGTTATTAAAAAACAGATTACATACAAATCTGCAGGATCATTTTGTTGATGTGTGTGTGTGTGTGTGTGTGTGTGTGTGTGTGTGTGTGTGTGTGTGTGTGTGTGTGTGTGTGTGTGTGTGTGTGTGTGTGTGTGTGTGTGTGTGTGTGTGTGTGTGTGTGTGTGTGTGTGTGTGTGTGTGTGTGTGTGTGTGTGTGTGTGTGTGTGTGTGTGTGTGTGTGTGTGTGTGTGTGTGTGTGTGTGTGTGTGTGTGTGTGTGTGTGTGTGTGTGTGTGTGTGTGTGTGTGTGTGTGTGTGTGTGTGTGTGTGTGTGTGTGTGTGTGTGTGTGTGTGTGTGTGTATAGATGGCTTGATTTTCGCAGTAAATGGGGAATCTCCGTTTGGCTCAGCTCCACTTCGAGGTTTTGTAATTGATTATTCCACCCTGGATATTTTGGATATCTTCAAACCAGAGGAAAAGGTAATGATACACACAGTTACACAGTGTACTGAACCTAGAGGTTTGGGATGTGATGCGTCATTTTTGTTGCTCTAACTTTTGCATTAATCTGTATTTTCTTTCATTAACAGGAGTTTAAAATGCCTCACGACATGGTTGAAAGAGGAGATGGCTGCGTGTTTGTCGGGGATGCAGGCAGTAAATCAGTCTTCAAGTTCACCACTGAGAGTAAGCACAGCCTTATTAGGACAATGATAAACTGGCACTATTACAACTTCTAATGTGAACAATCCATCTAATCTTGTTTGCCTGATGTTTGACATATTGGCGAGAAAGCAGAAATCATTTTGATTTTTTTTACAAGTATCTATAAGGTAATTTTGTAGGAAAACCTTATCATATGAAATAGGGATGTAACGATACACTCAACTCACGATACGATTCACGATTTTAAGTTCACGATACGATTTTCTCACGATTTCTTTTTTTTTTAACCTGTTAAGCCCTGAGCCTGTTTTTCAGGTCTCAGGCTCGAAAATGACATTCCCAGAACAAATGACCATATCTTCCCTTCTAAAAGGGTTAAATTAATAATCTTTTTTCTCAAAGTAATGATAAACCTGTGAGTTGGATGTAGAAAAGTCAGAATCAATATAGATGTTTTTTATTTTAAAGAAAATCCAGATTTTACATAGTAAAAAACTGTAAATTATAGTGTCCGTCCAACAATTATTTTTTACTTATAGTGAAAACTACCCTTGGATGATGGTAAGGTAGACTAAAAGCTTTAGGAATCCAAAGTACAACATATAAGTACCCTGTATCAAGATTGATGCAAAACAAGTGACATTTGACCTTTTTAGAGAGGTTTAGCCAAAAACACTCTACCTCTGAGGTGATTTGGGTGGAAATGTTTTTTTTTCCATATCTCTGGAACCCATTGGTCGATTTTGATGGTTGACACCTCTTTCTGACCGTTAGAGCCAATAGAATCGAAGGGGGAGTCCCCCACACACACTCATTGTGAAACAAAAAGGTGAGGGCTTTGCGCATGTAATTTTGCATTAGAGTGAAGCTACACTCTAGCTCTGACATCTAGAAACGGAAAAGCATGGATTATCCGTCTCATTGCTCATGGATTATCAGAAATCATTTCAAAGGGACACAGACACATTGGATTAACCTATGGATTAACTTCAGCAGCGTTTTTATCGTTTTAATGCCATTGAAGACCACTTTGGAGAGACTACAGAGCCAAGGTAACCTTGTTAGCATTTTTAGCTACCTAGCGTCAAATGTTTTGATGTCTGTTTTTGCTTATAACATCGCAATTTCATATAATTCAGTGATAATGAGGGTACCCATCGATTCTGTGTCACCTCACGATGTGAAACGATGTCATGGATGTGGAGAAAAGATAAATAATAAGGTTTTGTGAGTGATTTTCGGTGCAGTAATCTGTTAGCATTTTTCGCTCGTTGCTAATTCAGAGGCTCAGTGTTAGCATTGTGGGTTTTCTTTTGAAAACAAAATAAACATGATCAGTTCGATGAGTTTCTTCCCGTTACATGGATATAAAACATTCATAGTTTATTAAATGAGCATACCCTCAGACACTGTTTCCTGTAAAATGTTGCGGCAGTGCCCCGGTACCGGGGTCTCTCGGGCTTAACAGGTTAACAGAATGAGCTGCGGACAAATTATGATTGAAAAATATTTCTGTATTTATATAAACTGTACAAAACAACGTACATGTTCTCATCAAAAGTGCAACTAAAACTGTAAACTGTGCAACTGTATTTTATCTTAACCTGTTAAACCCCATGCCCCCGTAAAACTGTGTCTCAGGGCTTCTTAACATTTAACAACCTATTAATGTGTCCGACCCACTTAACAGGGAGAAACTCAGCTAACTGACGATATGAACAATTTTTACCTAAACAAAACACAACTCTAACGCTGAGCGTCTGAATTAGCACTAAGCGAAAGAGTGCTAACACACTTAGCACATAACTCACGGTAGCAATTCAATGGCATTAAAACGCATATAAACGCTGCTGAAGGTTAATCCAATGTCTCTGTGTCACTTTGAAATGATTACTGATAATCCATCATAACATTTATGTCAATAAACATACTTTTCATATAGAGTGTAACATAGCTTCCGGTTTTGGGCCTGCTGGCTGCGCATCACTCTCATTCACCAATGGTAATGTTTAGATGGATTTAGGAACTTCCCCTCGATTCTATTGGCTCTAACGGTTCAAAAGAGGTGTCAATCACCAAAAACGACCAATGGGTTCCAGAGATATGGCAAGTACACCCAAATGACGCCAGAGGTGGGTTTTTCTTTCTAAACCTCTCTAAAAAGGTCACATTTCACTTGTTTTGCATCAATCTTGATACAGGCAACTTATTATATGTTATAGTTTGGAATCCTAAAGCTTTTTGTCTATTATCCATTCAAGGGTGGTTTTCACTAGTAGTCATTTTTTCTTTTACTATGTTCAATCTGAATTTACTTTAAAGGGGACCTATCATGCAAAATGCACTTTTGTACGTCTTTTATACATGAATATGTGTCCCCGGTGTTCCAGGGAACTCACCAAGTGTCAGAAAACACAACCCTCTCTATTTTCCTCCATACCCAAATCTCTAAAAAAGGGGCTGCAACGGATCTGATCAAAACTGATCCAGATTTGAACACTGTCCTGACGTCAGGACGGTGGCGCTACGGCTATTGGGCCAACTCCACCAATCAGGAGGAGACAGCCACGGCCATTGCCGTTCGAAAGCGCTGGAGACGCTGTAGTACATATGCCAGGCCAGTAGATGGTGCTGTTCTCACTGAATCTGCCCTTGCAGAGCAGAGCTAAATAAAAAGTGCAAATTGAGCGAAATGAGGCATGGCTAAAATGCATGATCTGTTTGGTATTTTGAAAACAGAAACGTATAAATATACCTTATATAGGTATGGCCCTACAATATATAATTTAAATATACCATGATAGGTCCACTTTAAAATAAAAACATCTATATTGATTCTGACTTTTCTACATCCAACTCGCAGGTGGATCATTGCTTTGAGAAAAAAGATTATTAATGTACCCCTTTTAGAAGTGAAGATATAGTCATTTGTTCTGGACATGTCATTTTCGAGCCTGAGACCTGAAAAACAGGCTTGGGGTTTAACAGGTTAAATAACAAAAAGATACATAATTGGATTTTGAAAACAAATCCCACACTAAAATTCCACAAATGTATTTTTATTTATGGATATTTTATTAATCACTCCCCTTTTAAACTGTATTTGTTATTTATTTACTGTCCTACACATTGGAATGATTTCTTACCTTGTTTTTTACAACTATATTAAATAGATAAAGGTGTGCATTGGAAATATTTGTTTACATAGATGACCAAACAATTTGAGACCCACTCAGAGAGTCCTTTACCTCACAGTGCTGTAGTTATCAGCCTCTCAGTCTGACAGGAGAGAGCTCTCCCTCCACCTTGTTGTATTAACTGCTCTTTATAGCCGTTAGCGCAACTAGCACCAGAAGCTAACAAATAACAACAATCCCAGTAACTGGTGCGCGCTCTCTCTCGCTCGCTCACTGTCATAAAATGCGCTCGTGCCACACACACATACACACAGAGGATGTGTGCTCCTAAGTGGAGATGACGGCTTGCGTTAAAAAGTAATAATAAATACATTTGAAAAGTGGATGTGACACAAACGGGATGCCTCCTCGGCATCACAGATGTCCGAGTTATCCAGTGTGTCGATTTCACGGGCATTTCGTCGGACGTCTGCACTGAGGAGAGCAGCTGCCACGGCAAGTTGTTGTTCTAGATAGTGTTCAATCATGTCCAGACTGCTGTTCCAGCGAATCAAATCAAAATGAGTTCACGCCCTCTGCTGTTTAATAAATTGCATCGCAATTCATTTTTTAGCTCAACCGATTTTAATCTTAACGCATCTGTACCGATTTTTAACCGATTCACGATGCATAGTTACATCCCTAATATGAAATCTTAGTTGTAGTGGCTCTGCAGATGAACTGTCTACCTGTCTACCTCCCCGGGCGCTGTACAATAGCTGCCTGTACTAGAATGGGTTAAATGCAGAGACCAACTTTCACTGTGTGTGCTGTATGCATGTGTGTGTGACCATTCATCCTCCAATTCTATGTTCTATGTTATTAAACTGTGCAGTCTTATTCCACTACTGGATTTAACAAATACCTACATTTTTTTCCATCTTCATTTTTCAGAGTTACATCGGTCTGTCAAGAAAGCTGGAATCGAGGTTCAAGAACTTGAAGGTGTGTATTTTTAAATGTTACAGTTTTAATACTATAATGATAATAAGAGGGCCTGAAATCAGGCATCAATGAAACCCTGTTATTAACATACTTTCTCTCTAAATAGAAATGGAGACGTTTGTCCAGACTAAACTGAGGCCGGAGCACAACATGTCGAAGGCAGCAGCCGTCCAAGAGAAGCAAACTGTGGCTCGGCATGAAGCCTACACAGAAGCAGCAGAGAAGAAGAAGAGTGCAGCTCAGCCCAGCAGGGGGCAGGCTGTTCTGCCAGCCATCATCACCACCCTGCTGCTCGTCCCTCTGCTGCTGCTGCTCTCCACTGGACTCTTCATCTGCTGGAGGAAAAACAGTATGTATAAGCCCAAAGCTTTGAAGTTGAATCTACCAAATAAAGGAAGAATTACATTACATTTACATTGAGCCTGACAGGAGTCTTTTGTAGGATGTGTGCACTTTGAGGACCGAGACTAAAGGAGTTAATCGCCTTAGCAGAGCAGTGAAAAGTTGGCTTTGAAATAAATTATGTCTAAGATTGTGGTTATACATTTATAGATTGTGTTAGCTCCTGATTAGATCACACTTTTTCAAAAGAAGAGAACGTTACCATTACAGCTGTGGGTGTGGTCTGTAGCAGGTCAGGATTTAAGTTCAGATCGTCATGAAAGACAGTGAATTGGTGCTTCTTCAGGCTGCTATGCTTGGTTGTGAAACACTGTTGAATCAGTTTTTTTATTCAGGCCACGATCCGTTGTCGTTTTTGGCCAAACCCCAGTGTTGTAAATGTGTGACCTTTAGGTCAAGCACATGTCAGTGTGAGCAGAGTGTGCCCACTGAGAGGACAAAAAAAGCACACATCTTGACCGGGTGTTTGAATCTCATGTTGAGGTCAATGTTGGAAAAGTTTACAAAGATAAAACGTTATAATAATACCATTTTAAAACAGGTCTTTGGTGCTCTTAATATTAAATTCCGCTCAATATCATAGAATACAATATTTTTTGTCTGCAGACCGATGTGAGGTAAAATCCGAACCCAGCTCTGTGGGAGGAATCTGGGGGAAAATAAGAGGTAAGTCATTAATGATAACTAAAATAAAACCTTTTACACACTGAATATTGTATTTGACCTGGGCAGGATTCCCATTTTCAAATTATATTCAGAATATTTCAATTCAGAAATACTGAATACTACATTTCTTTTCTTTCTTTTTTTTAACTGTTTGTTTTAATTTTTCATATCACAAGACATTGTGACATAGAACTTTCCATTCAGATGACCCACATTTACATGAAAAAACTAAGTACAGCAAATCATTTTATAATGTAAATGAAATACAAATGAATATAAAGAAATACATAAATACAGAGAGACAAAATAAATACAAATAATAATAATAATAATAATTAAAGCTGCAAGCAGCGTTGAGCGGGTCTTCGACGCTCCGCAGGCTGTTGTCCGCACGTCGAGGTATCATGCAGGAGTTTTCCGGACTCGGCCGTTGGCAAACGTGGGAAGTTTCAGGCCGATCGGACAACGTAAATGGGAGTTACAGCAGTATCATACAGTAAACATTGTGTTTGATGGCGAGTGATCTATCGCCATGGCAACGGCATATGATGACATCCCAGAATTGGCGTAGAGCTGTTGAGGGGCGGACTAGTAGTCGTCATCTGAAGTCTGGTGCAGTTTGGACCATTTTCCAATGACTTAAGACAACATTGTGTTTTATGGCGAAGGATGCGTTGCCATGGAAACGGCATATGATGACATCCCATAATTGGCATAGTGCTGTTGAGGGGCGGACTAGTAGCCGTCATCTGAAGTCTGGTGCAGTTTGGACCATTTTCAATTGACTTAAGACAACATTGTGTTTTACGGCTAGGGATGCGTTGCCATGGAAACGGCATACGGTGAGATCTCAGATTTCACCTAGAGCTGTTGAGGGCCGGACTACTAGCCATCATCTGAAGTGTGGTGCAGTTTGGAACATTTTCCATTGACTTAAGACAACATCGTGTTTTACGGCGAGGGATCCGTTGCCATGGAAACGGCATACGGTGAGATCTCAGATTTCACGTAGAGCTGTTGAGGGCCGGACCAGTAACTGTCATCTGAAGTCTGGTGCAGTTTGGAAGCTTTTCCATTGACTTAAGAGAACTTCGTGTTTAACGGCGAGTGATTCGTTGCCATGGAAACGGCATATGATGACATCCCAGAATTGGCGTAGAGCTGTTGAGTGCTGGACCATTAACTGTCATCTGATGTCTGGTGCAGTGTGGACCATTTCCCATTGACTTAAGACAACATTGTGTTTTATGGCGAGGAATGCGTTGCCATGGCAACGGCATATGATGAGATCTCAGATTTCACTTAGAGCTGTTGAGGGCCGGACCATTAACTGTCATCTGAAGTCTGGTGCCGTTTTGAACCTTTTCCATTGAATTAAGACAACATTGTGTTTTACGGCGAGGGATGCGTTGCCATGGTAACGCCATATTAAGTAACATAAACTTTGACGTAGAGCTGTTCAGGGCCGCAGTGTTAACCATCATGTGAAGTTTGGTGGCGTTGTGAGCATGTCAGTTTCAGTTATGACATCATCGTATTCCATGGCGTTTGATGGGCCTAGCATCGAGCGAACGCGAACTTTGGCGCCAAATAACGGCTGTGCCGTGCGAAAGAAAAAAACTTCCGTGATAACTTTTAATTGCCCATGTCTCGAGATGCTACCCGACGAATTTCGAGTCGTACGGATAAAGTCCCTGGGAGAAGATAGATTTCGTGCGGAGGACGAAAAACGCGATAAATCGCGTTTTTCCGACTCCAAATTCAAAATGGCCGGCTTCCTGTACGTTATTTTACACCCCTCCAAGAGGCTTTTTGGTTTGTCTCCGCACTCTAGATATGCGTAGCGAGTTTCGTTCGTTTACGTGAAAGTTAAAGTGGGGGGAGTTTAGGTTAAAAACGGAAGTGGGCGTGGCCTACGCAATTTTTGACGCAAAGTTCCGGAACCAATTACACATCTGAAGTTGCACCACTTCTGACGCGCGTGCAAAATTTGGTGAGTTTTCACATATGTTGCGGGGGTCAAAGGTTTATCGGTCGCTGCGCGACCGATTTCAATAGGGTCTTCGCCGACCTAGGTCTCAGACCCTAATAATAATTAAAGCTGCAAGCAGCGTTGAGCGGGTCTTCCACGATCCGCAGGCTGTTGTCCGCACGTCGAGGTGTGTGTGTAGGTGTCTCGAGGACTCGGCCGTTGGCAAACGTGGGAAGTTTCAGGCCGATCGGACAACGTACATGGGATTTACAGCAGTATCGTAAACATTGTGTTTGATGGCGAGTGATCTGTCGCCATGGCAACGGCATTTGATGACACCCCATAATTGGCGTAGAGCTGTTGAGGGCCGGACCATTAACTGTCATCTGAAGTCTGGTGCAGTTTGGAACCTTTTCCAATGACTTAAGACAACATCGTGTTTTATGGCGAGTGATTCGTTGCCATGGAAACGGCATGCGATGAGATCTCATATTTCACGTAGAGCTGTTGAGGGCCGGACCATTAACTGTCATCTGAAGTCTGGTGCCGTTTGGAACCTTTTCCATTGAATTAAGACAACATCGTGTTTTATGGCGAGTGATGCGTTGCCATGGAAACGGCATATGATGACATCCCATAATTGGCGTAGAGCTGTTGAGGGCCGGACCATTAACTGTCATCTGAAGTCTGGTGCCGTTTGGAACCTTTTCCATTGATTTAAGACAACATCGTGTTTTATGGCGAGTGATGCGTTGCCATGGAAACGGCATACGGTGAGATCTCAGATTTCACGTAGAGCTGTTGAGGGCCGGACCATTAACTGTCATCTGAAGTCTGGTGCAGTTTGGAACCTTTTCCAATGACTTAAGACAACATTGTGTTTTATGGCGAAGGATGCGTTGCCATGGAAACGGCATATGATGACATCCCATAATTGGCGGAGAGCTGTTGAGGGCCGGACCATTAACTGTCATCTGAAGTCTGGTACAATTTGGAAGTTTTTCCATTGAGTTAGGACAACACCGTTGTTCATGGCGAGGGATCTGTCGCCATGGCAACAGCATATGATGACATCCCATAATTGGCGTAGAGCTGTTGAGGGCCGGACCATTAACTGTCATCTGAAGTCTGGTGCAGTTTGGAACCTTTTCCAATGACTTAAGACAACTTTGTGTTTTATGGCGAGGGATTCGTTGCCATGGCAACAGCTTTTGAGGAAAACTCACTTTTGTCATATTGAGGTGTTGAGGGCCGGACCATTAACTGTCATCTGAAGTCTGGTGCAGTTTGGACCATTTTTCATTGACTTAAGACAACATTGTGTTTTACGGCAAGGGATGCGTTGCCATGGAAACGGCATACGGTGAGATCTCAGATTTCACGTAGAGCTGTTGGGGCATGGACCGGTGATATAAAAGTGAAGATTGGGGGACGATGGGACCGTGTCCATTGGAGTTAGAGCGACACCGTGTTTTATGGCGAGGGATTCGTTGCCATGGTAACACCATATTAAGTAACATCACATTTGACGTAGAGCTGTTCAGGGCCGCAGTGTTAACCATCATGTGAAGTTTGGTGGCGTTCTGAGCATGTCAGTTGGTGTTATGACATCATCGTGTTCCATGGCGAAGGATGGGCCTAGCATCGAGCAAACGCAAACTTTGGCGCTAAATAACGGCTGCGCCGTGCGAAAGAAAAAAAGTTCCGTGATAACTTTGAATTGCCCATGTCTCGAGACGCTACCCGACGAATTTCGAGTCGTACGGATAAAGTCCCTGGGAGAAGATAGATTTTGTGCGGAGGACGAAAAACGCGATAAATCGCGTTTTTTGACGCCTTTTTCGACGCCAAATTCAAAATGGCCGACTTCCTGTACGTTATTTTATACCCCTCCAAGAGGCTTTTTTGTTTGTCTCCGCACCTTAGATATGCTTAGCGAGTTTCGTTCGGTTACGTGAAAGCCCACGTGACTGGGCTCGCGCGGACTATTTGCCGTCACTATTTCCGAACCTTTTCTGTGCTTTTGTCGGTCGTTTTCCCTGTTTTTGGGTGTTTTTCGCAGGTTTATCGGTCGCTGCGCGACCGATTTCAATAGGGTCTTCGCCGACCTAGGTCTCAGACCCTAATAATACAACATAATTTATATTTGTACAAAGACCAGACAGTTCTCATATTATTAATCTTTAACACAGTTTAGTTAGAACTATCCTTATCAGCTAGTGAGACAACCAGGTATCTTTCAACACCATTCCAACTTTGGGTAAAGGAGTCCATTTTTATTTGTAGACTTGCAGTCATTGTGTAAACCTGTTTAAGTCTGTGCTTTCACTGAATTATTGTCAGAGGTTTTGCCTGTTCCAGTTCACAGTTATCATCTTCTTGGCGATCAATAAGAGTATCCGTAAGTTGTACCTCTGGTCTGTATTGTATGTCTCTGTACATCTAGCTTCAAGTAAGAACAACATAGGAACTACTGGGACAGGCGCTTCAAGTATAATTGAAATGTCCTCTTTAACCGATTTCCAAAATCTTTCAATTGCTGGGCAGTCCCAAATAATATGTATAGTGTCCCCTATTTTTCCAAATTTCATCCAGCATAACGCAACCAATGGTCCTTGTTCATACTTAGACATTATGAAAGGAGTGTTCAATTCCTGACCTTCAGCTTCCAATCAAATTCTTTCCATTACTGACTATTAATTCCTTGTGCCCATCCTGTTTCTTGTATTTTCTAATCCAGGCCACTATTACAGTTAACTGAGCAGCCCATTTAAAATGTTTTAAATTTGGCAAGCCCAAGCCTCCCTTATCATTAGGTAGGAAAAAAGAGTTTAAGTCTTACTCTGGGTCACTTATTCTGCCAAATAAAAGTAGAAATTAACTTATTTAACATGTTGAAGATGGAGGTTGGAATTCCCACAGGAAGAGATTGAAATAGGAGGAGTAATCATGGAAGCAGGTTCATTCTTATCGTCTCCACCCTTCCAAATAATATGAGGGGAGTGAGTGTTTTATAAAAAGCTAAATGTCATCCGCAAAAGGGCTATTTAGTATATTAACCCTCCCATATCCGCTCTTCCTTGAATCTTTATATTTAGGCGTATAGCCTCTGCTAATACTGAGTGCGAAAAGAAGCGGTGACATTAAATTGCCCTACCTCACACCCCTCTCTACATTAAACAAATCAGAACAATGACCATTAACTCTTATTATTGATTTATGATTTTTATAAAACAAATTGATGCAAATCAACTCTATCAAATGCCTTCTAAGCATCTAGGCCAGGGGTGAAAATATACGAAGGGCTGGGCCCCTCACTAGAGGTTAGGTATATTGCCTCATAAGTTAAGTTATAAGTTAGCAAAATCAATCAAATGTAGGTACATTTTGCTTAATCAGCCAAATTAATTCAATTATTTTGGTTTACTGAAACTTCCATGAACCAGTCTTACCGTGTCCCTTTGGTGTTAACCTCCTGTCCGTCTTCTGTCTATTTCCTCTTGAAATAATAATTAGAATTTCTTTAGTTTTCAAAATAGTGCCTTTTTTCCCATCAGCTGTAATTAATAGTTTCAGGGTGCGTACGGGTGCTGGAAATCCTTGAAAATGCTTGAAATTGTACGAGGTGTTTTCAAGGTTTGAAAAGTGCTTGAATTTTGGGAATGGTGCTTGAATTTGGGATAAAGTGCTTGAAATTGTAAATGCTTTACTTCGCTTTTTAGATTAAAAGAAAATAAAGAAGTCTGAGCGCGCTTAATTGCTTTGCTTTTACATAAAACAGCTCCGCTCCGACCTTCCCGCGCAATACGCGTGACCGGCAAGTGTTTTTGTTACGTGTGTGACCTGGGCATTCTGATGAGAGTGATAGATGACAGTATGCCAGGAGGTTGCCGTTTCAACGAGCGTTGGCTAGCAGAAGACAAATACAAGCCATGGCTAAGACGAGGGTCAAGCGAAGCCCAAGAGTAGCCTCCTGCAAAGTGTGCAACAATAACGATGCGAGAGTCTGCGCTGACGAGCCACACACCACATGAAAGGTACGCCAGAGTAGAGCATTTTAGATTAGGCTATCGTTGCATGTAAAATACATGACACTTTTCTCTGTGCGCGGCAAAACAAGCTCGCCAAAATGGCTTCACTAGTCTGGCAGTATTTTAAGTGTCCGAAAATGACAGTAAAATAGCGGTATGCAACGTGTGTGTGAAGCAGAAATCCTGCAGCTCCACCCGCTTGTGACGGACCGGTGAGCGGAGCAGAACACAAATTAAGAGTTAGACCTAACACACTTAGCTATTTGATCTACCTCTGGAACAAGCTAAACTAGTTATAAATATATTTATTCTTCACTGTCGGGTCGCTCATTACTGGATCAGTGAGCTGCAGGAGATACTGACGGGCTGTCAAGAGAGGGGGAGAGAGGAAAAGAGAGCGATATCGGTATCGGCCGATACTGATTCCGGCGATCGGCTCCAAAATTGGCGATCGGAGCATCCCTAATAATTGTATATGATATGTTTTATAATGATTGATCATGAAAGTGTTCTCAAAGCTGGTAAAGGTGCAGCTAGTTTGAATGACTTTGTATACTGCAGGATAGCTTGTGAATTTACTCCAGGTGGAACTACAGTCTGATTTAACACTTGATTATATTTCACATCATTCATCCACACCTGTAAAGTAACTAAAGGTATTAAATACATGTAGTGGAGTAGAAGTACACCATTTACCTCTGACTTATGTTTACTGCCAACCTAAAAGTACCTCAAAAATAGTAATCAATAATATATTGAAAAGTTATTTGGCTGATTGTTTTATATTGGCTCAGCCAGGTTATATGGGATGCCCAGTCTACGTACAGATGGGTCACTCATTTTGAAATATTAAACTTAGTTTTCTTTTCTAACATTTTTAATTTTTCATCTTCATGTAGAATGCTATTATGAAACACACATTTGGTTGTTTATATAGCATAAAGAACATCTGATTTAATGTGAGGTAGGGAAATAATCATTTGAGTATAAGTATGAGTATATAAATATGTAATTTACAACAGCTGTAAGATGCTTGAAAAGCTTGAGAATGCACCTTGAAAATGCTTGAAAAGTGCTTGAATTTGACTTTGGAAAAGGTGTAAGAACCCTGTAGTTTAGAACCTGAACATCATCCCTAATACTCCACGAGAAGGAATCATTTGTATTTGTGAAACTGTTCATCATTTGGTGGTTGGTGATTGTGTTTGCCCGTGTGTTCAGGTAAAGCTGTGGGCAGTCTGAACCTGGGGAACTTCTTTGCGTCGCATAAGGGTTACAGTCGCCAGGGCTTCGACCAGCTGAGCACTGAGGGCAGCGACCAGGACAGACACGATGTTGACAGCAGCGACTCGGAGAACGAGGAGTACTCCGCTCTGCCGCCGCCTCACCCCCCCTCTTAGACTCTTTGGCCAGTCACCAAGCTCCTGCTTACAGTGCTGAGTGTATGCTTTTCATCACGTGTCTAACCGTTGTAAAGCTGCCAATCTTATTATTTATATATTTAAAAATGTGCTGTATATAAAGATAATTTAAACATTAATGTAATTGAATCGTGGTCTTGATAAAGCGTGGTCTTGGTAATTCATTTCACACATTTCACTATGAAAGATTGTTTTCCCCAAATCAAACTTGCATTGAGTAAAACCATTAGCACAGCTCTAATGATTTGGCCTTAGATCCAGCCTTAAAACAAGACCAAATCTCCCAATGGCTTAAGCCAGTGTTTTTCAACCTTTTTTGAGCCAAGGCACATTTTTTACATTAAAGAAATCTTGAGTCCCACCACCAACCAAAAGTGTAACAAAATGACAAATTTACAATGACAATTGACTAATTGTCATTGTAAATTTGACAATTAGTCAATTGTCTCTCAATTTATTTATGCTCTCTCAATTTATTTATACTCACTCAGTGTGAAACCTGGGAGTGTTTAGATGAACACAAAGCTGATATCCTGGCAGGAACTGAAGAAAGGCACACACAAAGCTCTTCCTCAACAGCTCGCAGTCTCTCTGTTTTTAGTTTTTATAGCAGTCATGCTTGAAAAGCTCGCTTGGGACCATGACAACTTTTCCCGAGACACCAAGCATAACGGAGTCGGTGCATCAGGATCCCCGGTGAAAGTAAATCCAAACGAAAGATAACTTGCTGTATTTTCTTGAGCTCACCGTTTTTGCTTTCTTTTGACCACCACTCATACCACTCTCTTCATCTCCGTTAGAATGTTGTCCAAGGCCCAGTTTGGAGTCTTTTTCTTTTCATGTTTTAGTTTAATACCATTTCATGCTGAATGTTCTGCCTTCTTTGTATGTGCCATTACAAAATGCATTATGGGATTAAAACAGCTGCTGCTTTTTGAGCTTGTTGATGTCTTTTTGAGTTTATTGATGTCGTGTGTGTGTGTGTGTGTGTGTGTGTGTGTGTGTGTGTGTGTGTGTGTGTGTGTGTGGTGTGTGTGTGTGTGTGTGTGTGTGTGTGTGTGTGTGTGTGTGTGTGTGTGTGTGTGTGTGTGTGTGTGTGTGTGTGTGTGTGTGTGTGTGTGTGTGTGTGTGTGTGTGTGTGTGTGTGTGTGTGTGTGTGTGTGTGTGTGTGTGTGTCTGTGTGGCTACAAACATACATGGAACCAGCTGTTTTTGTTTTAAATTTGAAGAAATAAAGGTTTTAAGCATCTTCATTTGCTAAATGGTAAGCCGTGATTGAAATGATATGATGTGTTGCAAACGGGCTAAAACATGAAAAAAGTGTTTGTGTGGTGGATGTTAATCTGGATATGAATTGCTCTTTGTCAGCTGTGTGATTTTTTGTTTATTGTGAACCTTTTTGCAGGGGTCCGTTGAAAGGCACGCTTCAGACTGCAATAGTTTCTCAACATTTTTAAATCATAATTACCGTGAAATAAAAAATTATGAATTGATCACGTTTCAAAATGTATGGACATGAATAGAACACCAAGAAGATGGCAAAATACATGTTATTTCAAACGTAATGGCAACATTCAATGTACGTTTTTTTGTGAATCAAGTGCTTGAGTCGCAATGCAAAAATGAATTAATAAAACAAGTTCACAGTGCACACCTCAAAAAAGAAAAAAAAAGAAAACTTTTTACTTCTGTTTTCTATGGTTTTACTACATTCGATCTTTCATTGCCTATTCTTAAAATGCATCTAGTATACTTAGATCCTGATGAAATATTTCCATTTCTATCCATATCTATTATATCTGTATATTGTTTGAATTGCATATCCTAGAAATTGCAATTCCGATGTTGCAGTTAAGTGTGAGCAATCAGATTTTATTTTGACACCCTACTTTTTGCTGCAAGAGTAATATTTTGAGTATATATGTTATTTGTGTAATAAAGTTTCTGCAAAGCATCACAGTTTCACAGAGCTTCTTGGATCAGACCATGAATGATTTTTGACCAGTCGTGTATTTTTTTTACACTCAGACATGTAATTCAAGCATTCAAGATGCTACTTTAGAAGTCCTCTCAGGTTTTTTTTTCATTTTTCACAACATTATCTTGGTCACCTTTCACATAACATGCAACCCCCGACGCGTAGTTTGTGTATAATTGTGACGTCTGTAGTCAACGCACTATAAAGGACTACAATTCCCACGGCGCCTGCGCTAAAGCCACAATGATGGGCAACCTGTTGAGAGACGTCGTCGAGGAACAGTTTTTAACCGTACACGTACATGTACATACAAATCGTACAAGTACCCTTTAAGTTATGAAGCATTATCAAGAAAGAAAGAATACCTAAGTTGTTTGTTATTTTATTTGAGTTTTGCCTATTTCTTTTGAATATTGTAAAGCCCTTTGTTGCATGTGCAAAAGTTTGTTATTTTATTTTGAGCAAACACATCGCAACATCATCTAAACCATCGGAGGCCAAGCAACACTTCAAACTGTGAGGAAAGAAACAAGTTAGTCTGTTTAAGGTGTCTAGTGGCTTAATGGAAAGACAAGGAAGGAAGCCACGACAGTGCCTTTCATGGGTTATTGACCGGTCTCTTCCCACCGGAGGCTACTGCAAGCATGACAGTCTTCACCGGGCTCTTCACAGGGGTCTCGCTACCGGAGGTTACTGGGGACTGCACGACAGTCTTCACCGGGCTCTTCACAGGGGTCTCGCTACCGGAGGCTACTGCAAGCATGACAGTCTTCACCGGGCTCTTCACAGGGGTCTCGCTACCGGAGGCTACTGCAAGCATGACAGTCTTCACCGGGCTCTTCACAGGGGTATTGCTGCCTGAGGCTACTGTGTTTATGCCGGAGGTACTTGGGATTGCCAGGCCCTTAAATCGTATACATTCGTCCTCTTCCTCAAGAACAGCAGCACTCTGCTTCCTGGGTTTAGCTCCTTTTTCAGCCTGGAGCGCAGGGTCTTCACCTCATCATTGAGGGCATCCTTCTGAGCCCTCAATGCCACATTTTCCAGCATCACCTGCCTGCAGTCCTCGTTGTCACACTCGGTATGTGGGGAGAAGGGTGGAGGGTGCCCAGGGTATTCCTCCTCATTGTCTATATCCAATGATGTAGCCATTCCAATGATGGGGTTAGTCTCACGGAGGTCATGGAGCAACTGCAGTGCCACACTATGCTTCAGCCTTGCCATGACCTGATGTGCCTCATGTCGGGAGAACTCAGGGTGGTCATGTTTTACATGACGGTCCAGTCTCTTCCCAGCGTACGAACACCCAGCGATGGGACAGGGTTTGGTCCGAACATTTATCCTTCCACTGGCTATTTTCAGGAGGATTCCCCTCTCCTCCAAGTTCCGCACTGCATGCTTGTGCTTAAGGTGTTTGTTCAACGCCAGATAGAAGAGTCTGCACACCGGGCATTCGGATGACATCCTTACTGAAACACACACAATGAATTTGATCAAAATGATGTTCTAGTTCTCCGTTTATATGCGTTAGCGTGACCGGTGATTGCGACACTGGGTCCGATGCATCAATTCATGGTGCATGGACCAAGGGAGGTATTGGGTTACCACCGGATCAGATGGTCCCACCTCCGCACCAACGCGGGGCTGGTGATGGCAACATTGGGTCCGATGCATCAATTCATGGTGCACAGACCAAGGGAGGGCTTGGGTTACCACCGGGTTGGATGGTCCCACCTCCGCACCAACGCGGGGCTGGTGATGGCAACATTGGGTCCGATGCATCAATTCATGGTGCACAGACCAAGGGAGGGCTTAGGTTACCACCGGGTTGGATGGTCCCACCTCCGCACCAACGCGGGGCTGGTGATGGCAACATTGGGTCCGATGCATCAATGCATGGTGCCCCGACCATGAGAGGGTTTGGGGTGCCCCGGAACCAGGCACCACCCCAGCAGGGTTGTATGGTCAAAGGAGGAAAGAGTGATAGAACCGGGGTAAAGCAAAGAAAGTGACAATAGTGACTTGTGAGGCGGCCAGAGAGTCTGTCATATCTCGGTCCTATCCTCCAGGCAACACTGTGGCCAAAACTGGGTGAAAATGCCCAAAAAGTAAAACAAACAAAAATAATTAATCCATGGAAAAATGCATGAAAATGAAAAAAGTGTCCAAAAATAGTGCCTCATGAGTTCAAAAGTTTGCAGTTCAAATATTCTGCTGCTTTCCCAAGCCTTTTTACTTTCTTTTATCATCTTAATACAAATTCATTCACTACTACTTACATCTGATATTTAACTCCTTCAGCCTATTTTCAGCTGCAGAAACCATTCAACTATTACATTATTCAGCTATTTCAGGACATCAAGGCTATACATCAGGGGTAGGCAAGTAAGTTTGGCCGTGGGCCAATTTTTTGCTGAGCCACAAGATGGCGGGCCAGAACATAATCAAAGCCTAATTCAAGGAATTGATTTTGGTAAGAGGGCGCAGCGCCCCTGTTCCCCGGTTCAGAAAAAACTCTGATATCGCTGATAACCCTCCCCACCAACACTCTGATGCGCAGTCAGATCCGCTGATTGGTTCACTGATGATATAGGCGCCCAATCCAGAGCCTCTGGAAAGACCCGCCCAAAGGGAGGCTCGTCGTCTCTAGCCCCATTTCAGTCCCATGTTAAAAGTCGGCGCTATTATCTGTATTTTAACAGACTTATCTTTTAAATTGAGGTGTATTTATTGTTCTCTTCAAAGTTTATTTTTTTCTGAAATTTTAGGGAGGATGGTCCTCCCTTTCTTCAATGGACGAGCCTCCACTGAGTGAGTTATTAACTAGCAGTGTTATTTAACATACTTTTATTCTGATAAATATTGTCAAGTTCTCTGGGTTTTTGGCATTTATTTGAGTGTTTGCCCACATTTGAGAGGCTTGAGGGGCAACAGAGGACGCATGGACAACTGGAATCCTTTTTCCTTTTCTTTATTTCAACTTTTCAAGGACACATTAGGATTCTTTCAGGTTGAAAACCTTAAAAAAAATACAAAATAAATAAATTACAGCATGTTTTGCTTTGCAATTTATTTAATATATTATAACCTAAATTAATCAGTAACCAAGTATTTTACTCAAACTCAATGTATTTAATAGTTAAAGGGGACCTATCATGCAAAATGCACTTTTGTACGTCTTGTATACATGAATATGTGTCCCCGGTGTTCCAGGGAACTCACCAAGTGTCAGAAAACACAACCCTCTCTATTTTCCTCCATACCCAAATCTCTAAAAAAGGGGCTGCAACGGATCTGATAAAAACTGATCCAGATTTGAACACTGTCCTGACGTCAGGACGGTGGGGCTACGGCTATTGGGCCAACTCTCCACCTATCAGGGGAATGTGGGGTTGGGCCACAGCCGGCCATTGCCGCTCGAAAGCGCTGGAAACGCTGTAGTACATATGCCAGGCCTGTAAGTGGCGCTGTAGTCTGCCACAAAAGCAGCGAAGAAGACTTCCCGCGCATGGTTGCCATGGTTACCCTTCTGTTTATTCTCCGCTGTGGCTTTTGTTCTCCCTCCCCGAGGCAAGCACTGTAATTCTCTCCGGTTAGTCCACCAGCAGATGACAAACACCCACCTCTCCGCCTCTTCCAAGGAACGAGGGGACCGTGCGGCAGAGTTTCAGTTAGGTTTTCTTTCGCCGGTCAAGATGTCCGTTAAAGTTGAAATCTTCCGGACAAAATTAGAAAAGTGCCGGTCAAAGGTCTTCTTTGTTATTTATTGAGCTTTAAAACAAATGAATAACGACTCTATAGGCCTATAATAATATAATAAAACACGGAGGACGGAGAGCTCTTTTTCTCCCCCTCTTCTGATTTGATCAGAGCACGCTCCCCTCTCCTGCAGGGGGGCGCGGTCAGCTGCAGCTCACAGTATCAGCCCCCTGCAAAAACAGGGCTGGAGAACAGCAAATAGAGCG